ACATAAATTTTGTGGTTGTAGGTTGAGGACTATCTGTACTGAAATTCAAAATGGACAGAATATTTTTTTTTTTACAGAGAACATAGATAAACTCTGGAATTAACTACCAGCATCCTTGTTAATAAAAACTGATTCTAGTCAATTGGAATGGTTTAAAAACAAGTCTGGACAAGTTCATGGAAGATCATCCTTTGGTTTAGGAAGAGGAATAATCAGTTTACCAATGTTAATTAACTATGCATTGCTTTGCCGATTTGGAGATGCTGTGGAAATTCTGACTATGTGTCTGTAGGCTATGAAGGTCTAGAACTCTAGATGGACAAAAACAAACTTAGGCTGAATTCCAGCAAGATGGACTTACTATTTGTCCACAAACATCTTGGCTCCTTGACAACCTTTGTGATTCCTCTAGGTAGGAGCCCATCACTCTGAAGAAACAAATTTGCAATTGGAGGTCTTCCCAGATCCATACTTCAAGAAGTGGCATGCTTTGTACCTACTACATCTTTTGAAGTATGGATGAGTGGCCTTCACCTAAGTTGATTAGGTGGTACATAAGTTAGATGTTAGGCCTGGTTGCAAACTGTTGAAGTTCTGGTGAAAGTGACTCAAACATCAAGGTTTGCTATAATTATAGTAATACAAGTCTACATGGGCTGCCTTTGAAGACATCAGAGAACCTAGATCCAGATTCCTTGGGTGATTGCTTCTTCCAGGTGGAATCTGTCCAGTCTTATATAAGCAGAGAACGGATATTTAGGGTCATGTCCCACAAAGGTTCAAAAGAACACACCTCTAAAGACAGTAATTCTCTGGAGTTTGCCCTTGCCTCATTTTCATGCAGAGCCGTGAAAATTGTTTTGACGCAAGGGCATTTGTTGATGATTTTTTTGTTATTTGACTCTATGACCATGGGATGCCTTTTAAAAATTCTTTGTTGAAGTTATGTACAGCACATCTTCTGACCGTTTTGTAAATTGCCTGGAGTCTTTGGACTTGGCTAGGGTAAAAAACCCTGCAAATAAATAAACAGAAGTTATGGGTGTTTACTTCCTCTGAAATTTCCTCCGAAATATTAACCTTTAATAGTGGTTAAGAGGAAGTAACTAAAAAAAAGGGACACTTGACTTCTCATCCAGACTTGTGAGTACCTCAGATATAGCTGTTGGATGATTGTGTACCTCAGAAACTGGAGTTTTCCTCCAGGACTCTTCTTGCATTCCTATGAACTCAAAATACAGGTAGTCCTTGACTTACAACAATTCATTTAGTGACCTTTCCAAGTTACAACAGCACTGAAAAAGTGACTTACAACCTTTTTCACACTCAATGACCGCTGCAGCATCCTCATGGTCATGTGATCAAAAAATCAGACGCTTTGCAACTGACTCATATTTATGGCAGTTGCAGTATCCCAGGGTCATGTGATCACCTTTTGCGACTTTCCGACAAGCAAAGTGATTGGGAAAAACCAGATTCACTTAACAACTGTGTTACTAACTTAACAACTTCAGTGATTCACTTAACAACTGTGGTAAGAAAGGTCACAAAATGGGGCAAAATTCAATTAACAACTGTCTCACTTAGCAACAAAAAATTTGGGCTACATTGTAGTCCTAAATCGAGGATTACCTGTACAACCCAACCTTCTTTTAATGACGGCTTCATGGCTATTTTATCTATGGAGGGTATTGCTTCATTTTTTATTATTATTGTTTTTAAATACTTGGATTTCTTTCCTGACTTGGAGATACATTTCCAAGCCAATTCAGATGTTTTTAATAAAAAGAGATTTGTCACAGAGCAGTAAACTTGGGCTTCCAAGCCTGCTCCCCTCAGCTCTTTACAAAGATTTTCCATGCTGTGAGGCTCCCAAATCTTCTGAGGTCTGGAAAAAGACAGGAGTGCTGTCTGAGTTAATGAATGTTTACCCAAAATGACAGCCATAAAGTAGAAACTCTGTGAGGTCTGCCAAGGCCCTGTCAGCTCTCCGCCTCTGTGTGTACAAAACTAATGGGACTAAAACAAGTCTAGAGCTTTCCCTCAATTTGTCTTTGTGGATTTCAGCAACTGAGAAGAATTTTAAGCCTTAGCAGCCTCCATCACTTTTCAGGTTACAATAGCTGAACTGGAAGACACTTGTTAAGGCTTAATGCATTCAGCAAGAAGAAGGAATTGAGGTCTGGTGGATCTCATCTTGCAGGAACCTTTGTCTTTTTCACCAGACAAGCAATTTACTCTCTCTCATCTCTTGGTAGTTGCAGTGGATATTCCAAGTCTTGATCTGGAGGAGTTGTAGATAATGCAGTTGTGCATGGCCAAAACAACAAAGCAACAGACCAGGGTCATCAAATTGCTTAAGATTTTTTTTGTCTAGTCATTTCTAGTTACAGGTAGAATGGCTGGTGGCCTAATGGTAAAGAGAGTTTAACCCTAGGAAGGGACAGATCTTTCTCTCTCAGAGTATAAAGAGCAAATATCTGCTGTGAACTTCACACATAGGCATCAGGAAGGGCATCCAGCCAGTAAACGCTGAGCTACATTCAGTCGCCCTGATTCTACCCCGCATTAAGGGATTATAGATTCATAAAAATAATCTAGTTACAGGTAGTCCTTGACTTATGATTACACATTTAGCAACTTTTTGAAGTTGTGAAGTATCTTCCCCCCCAAAGATACTTGCCATCTGATTTTTAAGTCATAATGACTGCACACTTGAGCACACATACACACACACAAAATCATGTGGTCACATTTTGGATCTTTGTCAACCAGATCACTTTTATGGCTGTTTGCAGCATCCTGAGTTCACGTGACTATGATTTTCAGTGTTTTTTGCTGGTTTTTGGCATTTACTTCCAGTTTCTAGCAAAATAACCTCCCTATGGGTAAAATGAATTTGCTTAACAACTGGTGCAAAAATAATGAACAATTGGGTCCAGTCACGTGATGCCCTGACTTAACAACCAACCACATCTTATGACCATAATTGTGGACTCAATTATAGTTGTAAGTCAAGGTACAGATTTTGAAATAGTTGCCATTTATATGTATGTATGTATGTATGTATGTATGTATGTATGTATGTATGTATGTATATATATATATATATTATCTCATGGAGAAAGCTGATTCTGTAAATAGTGTGCTCTCAATGACTAACTATAGATGATAGCTCCACTTTGTTCTAATACCTGGAGACTGTGTGTGGGTTTGAATGGGAAAGAAAAGTTTTAAGTTGAATCCTGATAAGATTGAGTGGCTGTGGAAGTTTGGACTGCCTGAGTCTGCAGTGATTCTGTATTTAGCTGTAAATGGAATCTCACTTCCTATTTCAGAGCTAGTGCACAATTTGAGGCTCTTTTGGACTTATAGTGCTTATTGAAAAAGCATAAGTTTACCTATTAATGTCAGTGGTGCCCATACCTCAACAGGGAGGTCCTTAAGACAATTACATATGTTTTGATCATTCATATCTATTGCAATGAGCTCTAGTTGGGCTATCCTTGAAGACCACTCAGAAGCTATAGCTGGTCCCAAATGCAGTAGCATGGATGTGCCATGGTATGTCCATGTAACACCTCTGCTGTGGGGGCTGTTTTGGTTATCAGTAGACTAGCAGGCACAGTTCGTTGTGCTGGTTATCATCTATAAAGCCCTTCATGACCATCAACCTGCTTATTTGAGGGACTGAGGGGTCCTTGGTGCTCTGGGAGCTTGCTTGTTTTCTTGCAGATTTCATTACCCAAACTAGGTAACATCATCAGTGCTGGTCAGTGATGATGTTACCTCATTGGGTAATGAAATGTCTGCAAGAAAACAAGCAAGCTCAGAAAGCAACAAGGACCCCTCATTTCAACCCTGAGCTACAAATATTCTCCTTTATTAGTATTTGAGGGACTGCCCATCCCTTGTAACTTCTGCCCAAGCCATACATTCTGACAGACTTGGCATGTTCCTGGTCCCATCAATTAAAAAGTGCCATCTGGTGGGACCCAACAATTGGTTCTTCTCTATCATGGCATCTGTCCTCAGGACAACATTCACCATGCAATTCATATGGTTCTCACCTTGAACTTATTTAAATGAGCTCTTAAGAGCTGGTGTCAATCTTTCTGCTGGCGAATATAGCATTAAAGAAACTCTATGGCCTTGAGGTGCCATAACAGATATTTGTGGTACTTCGATTTTTTATTGAGATTGTTTTTCTGGATTCTTTTTTTAAATTATTGTTTTCTGTTGTTTTGATCTTGTAAGCTGACCAGAGCTATGATTTTGTGAGTGAGTGAATAAATAAATGAGCAAATAGTCATGTTCCAGAAAATGTACTTGCATGAGTAAAATTTCCCATTTCTAAGTCTCCTTTAAGAGGTTCTGCTCAACTACTTCAAAAGCTTTGCTTGGCTGTCATACACAGTTTATTAATTCCAATGGTATTTGTTGTAGGAGTGTTGTTTATGTGAAGATAATCTAGAAAAGCTTTTGAAGCTCTATTGGCACTGAATGGATTGAGTCATCTCAATTTGTCATCTCAGGAGGCTTAAAAAATAATCACAAGAAGGAGTGTTGTCATTGTTTTGATGCCATACTGTAAACCTAAGCTGCTCTCACGATTGATGTTCATCTTTAAGTCACTTGTTGTAAACAAGAGTTTTATTACATTTCTTCACATGTAATGTTTAATTTTATTACTTACTATATTTGTACTGTATTTTTGAAAACTGCTTATGGCTTTGACAATTTTGTTAATTATTGTTGATAAACAAGTCGGTGATGGTTGTTTTTGATGCTTCATCTTCTCTCATAAAAGTCGGACTGTAAATAACCTTCCATGGTTAGCTTTTTGTGGTTAGTTTTTCTATCAGGATGTAAAACATTAATAGAAAACCAGTCAGACTCTAGTTCATTAACTTAACATGCCTAAAGTGTAGCTTCAGAGTAGGTGTAGTTTTCCCTGTTGTATCAATCATTTTTTTTGTGTTTGATGTTTTTGTTTCCAGATACAGACTTAGGAGTTGGTACGCTAACAGAAAATGAAGATCAAGAGGCCAGGTCTTTGGCACTCCCCAAAATATCAGGATTAGAACGGAGCCAAGAGAAGAGTCAGGACAGTGGGAAAGAGCCATCACTTGACCCTGTTGTGCCTCAGGATCTTTGTCCTCAAGTTTCTCAGCCTTTGGTCACACCTCGTTTGGAGCCACCAACAGAAGCACGTTCTCCAAAGCCACCTGCTGTCCACCCTGCTCGCTCCTCCTATTCGGAAGGCCCAGAGAAGCAACCAGCTTTGGAAGAGGCCCAGTTTCCCACAGTTCCTCCTTCCCAAATACAACATCCACCGAGACCTCCCTCTCCTGGGCAGCCGGCCCATCCAAACATACCACCTTCTCAGCTGCGTCCTCCCTCCCGTAGCCTTGCACAACAGCTGTCAGCTTATAACAGCAGCAGTTTAAGCCTCAACAGTTTGAGGTGAGGATCATGCTGGGCGTTTTCCAAGCGTCAGTTCATCAACTGTGTTGTAAAAGTAGAGATGTTGACATTTCTTGAAAAGGGGCCAGGCTCTTTATTTGGGTGAGTGCTGTGGGAGAGTTGGAAGGCAGCCAACAGTATAAATAACATCTTCTTCCATAATTCAAAAACTCTGGGCCAACCCTGGAAACTGAGAGTAGACAAAAAGCTAAAGAGGTGCCAGTTTCCAGTACTGTTGTCCGCAATTTAAAGGACTGAAAGCACAGCAAGGCTATTGCTGTGTCAAGTGTTAGGGAGAGGTTGTTAATCAGACAAGAAAATAAAGCTCTAAATAATTGGGCTGGATTCATCATGCTTCTGCTAAAGAAACTCAGAGATGTGCAGCAATATCTCCCACAGCCTCTATCAAGTCCTTGCGCTCCTCAATTTTAGCTTTTTAGCTTTTTTTTAAATTAAAAATAAATAAAGGGGAAGCTGACATATGGCTCAGTATCAGCTTTTATCCATGTGCATTTCCAATAAAATGTCTGGGCTTCACATAAACCCAAGAGATGTTCTTCAGAAATGGCAGGTGAATACGGCTTGTGCTTCCTTTGCAAGTATGGTCCTTCTGCCTAGAAAAAGTCAGATAAGGTGAGGAGATTAAATGCCTGCTGGGGAAGGTCTTAGTTTGACATTCTGATAACTGAGTGTCTGGGGACTGGTCATATCCATCAAGGCAGCCATTTTGTGAGAACGGCTATATCATGCTCTCAAAATTGCTCAAGTGTCCACCCAGTCCCTTGGCTTACTTTATTGCCTGAACCTAGCCACTACAGCTTATAAAACCTGGTGCATGGCAGGGGTCTTCAAACTTGGTCCTTTTATGACTTCTGGACTTCAATTCCCATGTCTGACTGAGGAATTCTGGGAGCTGAAGTCCACAAGTCATAAAAGGACCAAGGTGCATGGCTTGGTGTTTTGTGGAAGCAAAGGCAGGATGGTTTGTAAGCCAACCAGGCTTGAACCAAGCTTTTAGCAAAAAGGAGAAGTCCAGCCATAATCGGAGTCATCTGGTGATAAGATGGGCGGCAAACAAATTTAATAAATAAAAATAAAAAATATATAATAATCTGTCCCAAGAGATGGCAAATTTGCATTTACTCTAAATCCTACTTTCCATCAGGACAGTTGGTATGAGGGAACCTCAGGCCATTTTTCATCGACAACAGATTAGGCCAATGATGGTGAGCCTTTGGACTTGGTGTGTCAAAAATTGGGAAAGTGCCAACTTGGCACTGCCGGTGTGTCACACCCTCTCCCAAACAAAAGAGAAACAATTCTCTCTCACCTCTCCCTCCTCCATCTAGGCCAGTGTTTCTCAACCTTGACAATTTTAAGACATGTAGACTTCAACTCCCAGAATTCCACAGCCAGCAATGCTGGCTGTGGAATTCTGGGAGTTGAAGTCCACATGCCTTAAAATTGTCAAGGTTGAGAATCACTGATCTAGGCCATCTCAGTGGCAATGCCAAGACAGGCCTGAAGTGAAGGACCATACTTTTATTTTAACCCTTGTGACACTGCTGCCACACACAAAAGGCTGCTTTGTGCCATGTGAACCTTGGGGAATGGCACAATTTGCCCCCCCTCCCAGCCCAATGCTCCCCAGGAACTGCTGCATGACCTAATTTCAGGCAGTCTTCTCCTTCAGTTGTCAGGCCCTGTAGCCTAGTCAAGGCCATTGTCAATCACACAAGGCATTTGTTCTTGAAACAGTTTGGAGAAGGCACAGCCTCTTAAACCTTCAAAAACTGTGCAAAATCATGCCCCATTCTTATACAATTTTCGAATGCCGTGCGAGAACACACCCCATTCTCACATGCTTTCCACAGCCTCTGAAAGTTGTGTGAGAACAGGGTGTGCTTTTGAGAATAGTTATTGCCAGGTGTTGGTGAAGGCTGGCGCGTCACTCAAAACATTGTGGCATGTCACCTTTGACACGTGTGTCATAGGTTCGCCGTCACTGGATTAGGTGGTTCTGATCTGATGAGGAGAATACAGGTAGCTCTTGTCTTACGACCACAATTGAGCTTAAATTTCTGTTGGTAAGTGAGACATTTGTTATGTGAGTTTTGCCCCATTTTGCTACACTGAATCACTGCAGTTGTTCAGTTAGTAACACGGTTGTTAAGTGACTCTGGCTTCCCCCATTGACTTTGCTTGTCAGAAGGTCGCAGAAAGTGATCACATGACCCCCGGGATACTGCAACCACCGTAAATATGAGCCAGTTGGCAAGTGTCTGAATTTTGATCACATGACCTTGGGGATGCTGCAAAGGTTGTAAGTGTGAAAAATGGTCATAAGTCACTTTTTTCAATGCCGTTGTAACTTTGAATGGTCACTAAACAAATTGTTGTAAGTCGAGGACTACCTGTATTTTGGGAAGGAGACCTGTTCTCTCTTTGCAGCAATGGGAGGGCTTGGGGCTCTGCCTTTCCTTGCTTAGTAACTCCTTTTTTGTGCATTTGCTAACCTCTTCTTTTCTGCCTCTTTCCCACAAATAGCAGCAGCAGAAGCAGCACCCCAGCCAAAAGCCAGCCCCCTCCTCCTCCTCTGCCTCCTCCACCCATAGCTCACCATCCTTCAGCATCCCCCTTCCCTCTCTCTTTACCCAATCACAGCCCTCTCCATAATTTCACACCTGCCCTCCAGCCTTCTACCCACACCCACCACCCCAATATGTTTGCCCCTCCCACGGCATTACCTCCTCCTCCTCCTCTGACATCGGGGACCTTACAAGTTCCAGGTCATCCTGCTGGCACTGCTTACTCAGGTCAGGAAGAAAGTGTAACTTGCTGGGTCAAATGCTAGTTTCTTTGCTTGTTTTAGTCAAGGTATCAGCATCTTGCAAAGGAAACAGGTTTAAATTGGTACAAATAGATTTTATTGAGCTGGGACAGGGGTCCCCAATCCCCGGTCTGTGGACCGGCACTGGTCCGCAGCATGCCAGCAAGTGGGCTGCACAAACAAGCAAAGCTCCATCCTCGGGATGCAGGCAGTATTCAAAACCACATCCCCTCTGGTCTGCAGAAAAATCTTTCTCCATGGCACCAGGACCTCTGAGCTAGGACATATTTTATGAAGGAACTTCAAAGTTCATCAAGAAGAGGGAAGGAAAGAAGGAAACAATTATTTCATAAAATATAAAATATGGAGCTATTTGAATTTCCTTCCTTCCTTCCTTCCTTCCTTCCTTCCTTCCTCATATCTCACAAGTGTAAAAAGACTCAGGGCTTTGATTGCCCGGTTCATGCTTTTTGGTGTCATTGACCTCCCATGTATGACCCTTACCTTGCATGAACAAAACAGGAGCTCATCCACACATATCTACATTATTCTCTGGGCAATAAGGAGAACTCAGTGGAAAGAAGATGGCCCAGCTCTTGGCTACGTTTGGGTTGGCCTTCTCCCAGTTGTTTTTACCCACTCAATATCATAAGATTGAAGAGGCTCACTTTGAATCCTTACACTGAGGAAATGGGGGGGACAGGTCTTCTTCTTTTGAGGACCTTGAAATAACATCCCTACTGAGATCCATACAGTCTCCTGACTTTTCAACAGATTTTTTTTTTGGGGGGGGGGGAGATAGATTGCATTTCTCATATTATTCCTTGTGAGTTGCCTTGTCCTTTATTGTTATTTTATAGATTCCGATACATACTTTTAACCTTCTTTGCAGAATTAGGCAGGCATGTTGTTCAGAGTTTGGGATGATTGGAGTGATGCATAAGATGACGTAAAGGAGGAAGGGAGAGACTTTCATGATATTGTCTTCCTTTCCAGAGCAAGATCTTCTCCGCCAGGAGCTGAACACTCGGTTCCTGGCTTCCCAGAGCGCCGATCGTGGCGCCTCGCTAGGCCCACCACCCTACTTGAGGACGGAGTTCCACCAGCACCAACACCAACACCAGCACACGCACCAACACACGCACCAGCACACCTTCACGCCTTTTCCTCACGCCCTCCCACCAACAGCCATCATGCCAACGCCAGCACCTCCCATGGTGCGTAATCCAGGCAGAAATGTGAGGATAAGTAGCGCGCAACCTTTTTTTGTTGCAAAGTATATTGTGACAGCTACAAATAATAATCACAACAGCAAAGATCTTTGTGGAGTCATGGGAGAAAAGGCTGAAAGTCTCCGGACAGTTCCCTGTTGCAGTGGGGAGGGGGCTTGGGGTAAAGGGATTCTATGTATATAGATCCTGCAGCCCAGATCTGGTATTCCTAATTTAATAAGTAAGTTAACCTTTCCTTTTTGGAATCATGAGAACATCAGTCACACGGATGTGCAGAGAAAAATAGTTAGTTATATATCTCACAACTGTGGATCTAGGTGACGAATAGAGAATGAAAACCAAAAGAACAAGTAATGCTAGCATTAACACAAGTAAATATCTCAGGACAATTAGGATAACACTATAAAAATGCCCCATAGAATTGCCTTGATATTTCATGGCAGTAATTTGGTTCCAGAGCTGAAGTTTCCATTGCCTGCATAGCTAAATTATATCCTATGTATTCCTAGCTTCTCTGATAATGAGCATGAGGAAAATCTCGTTGAACAAGTATCATTTTTGATGTCTGTTGAAAGTTTTCTGTAGGAAATTTCTGGCTATTTAATCAACATCTTAAAATTTTCCTTGCTTCTATAATATTTGTTGTAAATGAGAGACTTTAATAAGTGCCTTTCTTTTATCCATATGGTGCCTTTCTTTTAGAACAAAATAGAGGTATTTGTTATATTGTAATAGTAATAGTATACATGTTGATGAGTAGTAGGTAACTAATACTTTAGGGATATTTGCCACTTACATGGCAGCCAAGAACTAATATTTTCTGTATCTGCTGCGATCTTGTGGCCATCTGGATTTTTGCCACCATCTGGGATTGTCCTACAATACTTAAACTCAATACCAGCTCATCAGTAACCATCGATCCACAGTGGATAGGTCAAAATTAAACCTGGATGCTTTTAATTAAAGGTACAATTAAAGGCACAAAAGCAACAATTTCATATCCCAACCTGAGGCCACTGTTCTATTTCATTGTCATCCCATAATTCAGACTTGGTTAAAAAAAAAAAGGCTAATATAGAGAACATGGGAATGCAACAATTTGGAAATGATGTAATCTAGTGTCTTTAGAGCACATCATGAGAAAGGCAGGGCTAGATGAATCAAAAGTTGGAATTAAGATTGCCGGGAGAAATATCAACAACCTAAAATATGCAGATGATACCACTCTAATGGCAGAAAGTGAAGAGGAACTAAAGAGCCTCTTGATGCGGGTGAAGAAAGAGAGTGCAAAAGTTGGCTTGAAACTCAACATTAAGAAAACCAAAATCATGGCATCCGGGCCTCTCAATTCCTGGCAAATAGATGGGGAAGAAATGGAGGTAGTGACAGATTTTATTTTTCTGGGCTCCAAGATCACCTCAGATGGAGACTGCAGCCAAGAAATTAAAAGACGCTTGCTCATGGGGAGGAAAGCTATGGCAAATCTAGACAGCATTCTAAAAAGCAGAGACATCACCCTGCCAACAAAAGTGCATATAGTCCAGGCCATGGTTTTCCCAGTTGCAATGTATGGCTGTGAAAGTTGGACCATAAGAAAGGCTGAGCGCAAAAGAATTGAGGCCTTTGAACTATGGTGCTGGAGAAGACTCCTGCGAGTCCCTTGGACTGAAGGCGTTCAAACCGGTCAGTCCTAGAAGAGATCAACCCCGACTGCTCTTTAGAAGGACAGATCCTGAAGTTGAAACTCAAGTACTTTGGCCACCTAATGAGAAGGAAGGACTCACTGGAGAAGGGCCTAATGCTGGGAAAGATTGAGGGCAATAGAAGAAGGGGAAGACAGAGAATGAGATGGCTGGATGGAGTCACTGAAGCAGTAGGTGTGAATTTGAATGGACTCCAGAAGATGGTAGAGGACAGGAAGACCTGGAGGAACGTTGTCCATGGGGTCGCGATGGGTCGGACACGACTTCGCAAGTAACAACAACAAAGTGTCTTTATATAAAGATCAGTGGGAAAATAACCTGAATCTGCTGGCATCACATCTTTATTGCCTTAAATAAAGATTTAAATAGATCTGAAACTCTAGGGGAAAAGAAATGAGTGAATTGTCAGTCTTCTTTCTTTCACTCTGCTTTATTCTATGGTATTACTTAAAAGCTAGAAAGTTCTCAGTTGTGGTATTTCCGTATTTAGGCCCTAATCTATCTCTGTGTCTATCTCTATCATTCTATTGTTGAGAGTCAGGCAGCATACATATTTAACAAATTACTAAATTTAAATTGCATATAGATTATTAAATTTAAATGAATAATAAATCACCCCCCAATTTTATCACTCTGATCAGAAACTCCATTTGGATTAGCGCTAACAGAATTAGAATTATCACAGAGACGACTGAGAAATAGCAGATAGATGTTAGCAGACTGGGTAGAATTTTCAATCTCAACACTATTACTATAGATAGTCCTTGACTTACAACCACAACTGAGCCCAAAATATATGTTGTTAAGTGAGACATTTGTTAAGTGAATTTTGCCCCCTTTTATGACCATTCATGCCACAATTGTTAAGGGAATCATTGCAGTTGTTAAGTTAGTTAAGACGGTGAATCTGGCTTCCCCCATTGAGTTTGCTTGTCAGGAGGTCACAAAAGGGGATCACATGACCCCGGGACGCTGCAACTATCATAATCATGAGTCAGTTGTCAAACCTCTGAATTTTGATCACGTGACTATGGAGATGCTGCAATGGTTATAAGAGTGGAAAATGGTTATAAGTCACTTTTTTCAATGCCGTTTAACTTTGAATGGTCACTAAATGAACTATTGTAAGTCAAGGACTACTTGTACTACTGCTATTACCATTACTGTTACTATTTTAAAAAAACCAAAAACCTACTCACTGTCTCCCTAAACCAAGGCTAGGCAACCTTGGCTCTTTTATGAATTGTGGATTTCAACTCCCAGAATTCCTGAGCCAGCCATGCTGAGGAGAAAAGGAGAGGTTTCCATGCTGAGCCATGCTGGCTCAGGAATTCTGGGAGTTGAAGTCCACGAGTCATAAAAGAGCCAAGGTTGTCTGCCCCTATCCTAAACCAAATCCAGCAAAATTGAAGATGCTGTAAAATGATGAGTGAGGGTTGAAATGTTAAGGTGAAAGAGCAACAGAATGTCTAATCCTTGCTTGTTTTATTTAATATCTGAAATTTTATTACCTATGTTTTCCTTGATCTGTTTTTCTTTATGACTGTTGATTCCTGATCCTTCTTATCTCCAGGGATATTATGGGTTTTTTAAAATGTTTTCTGATGTGGTTTATATTGAGGGGCATCTTAGGTAGGGTTTGTGTTTGTATGTGTGTGAAGCATTAAAAAAAATCAAGACAGGGACCACAACTGGCAACTGAAGCCCTGTTCTTTTTTAATGTGCCTCATAAAATATACATAAAAAGATGGGTCTTTGATACTGTGACTATGGCTACCATCTTGAGTTTATTATCTTTCTAACCTCCATCAATATCTATAAAATATCTAAGAACTGATTGCTGAACTGTTAGATAGGATAACATTCAAAACTCTTCATGAAATGAAAGGATTTCCCCTGACACATGTAATGAGTTTGTATTTCAATCCTTTTACAGTTTGACAAATATCCTACAAAAGTAGATCCTTTCTACCGTCACAGTGTGAGTTCTTACTATTGCATTAAAATGATTTTAATTGCATTTCTTCCATGAACATCACTGTTCAGTCACTGATAGAACATCCAGTTTTATGTGTCATTCCTTCACCTCCATTCACTATAAAAAGCATCTGTCATCAGTATTGTCAGTTGCTTTAGCTGTTGCCTCATTGTCTTTTCTAAAGAAGTAGAATCTTCTTCTTTTTAAAATTGGCAATGTCTTTTTTCCTCAGCAGTTTTTCCATAATGAGGCTGGGTATTCAATGGATTTACAGAGTCTCCCTTATTATTATAGGTTTTCTTATAGCAATAGCAATAGTATTTAGACTTATATACCATTCTCTTTGTAGCACTCTCTAAGCAGTTTACAGAGTCAGCATATTCTCCCCCCCAACAATCTGGGTCCTCATTTTACCGACCTCAAAAGGATGAAAGACTGAGTCAACCTTGAACTGGTCAGAATCAAACTCCTGGCAGTCAGCAGAGTTAACCTGCAATACTGCATTTTAACCACTGCATCATCTTATTCACTCCACAGTGATTGTTATTTTGCAGTTTGATATGGCAATGAAGACGAGAGAGTCGCGTTCACATGTGTAAATAGAATCCTGTGTTTATTAATCTTTTAGTATCTGTGGTGATTTATGCAGATGCAGTGCATACGTCTATGTCTCATAATTGAGATGGAAATAAGTTTTGGTTTGACTTTAAAACAAAACAACCCAAATTGAAACACTGGCTATGTTACAATTGGACAATGGGACAGACTGAGCCTTGGCAAAGTTGTGTAGATTCAAAGGCCAACTAAACCCACTGAATAATCATCTTTAGCTTTGGATGGAGTTGTGCTACCCATAAGGGAGCTGGCTTGCAATTTGGTGTGTGTGGGGGGTCCTATTGGACTCAAAACTTCTGCTTCTTATGGTCAAATTTGTACATTATAGATGGGGTGCCAATTACACCCATTCCTAGATCAGGGAGCTTTGTGTACACTTAATTCCTACCCTGTCACCTCACAGCTGGATTATTGCAATTCATTGTATATGAGACTGTTTTTAAAGACCGTGATTTTATTTTAATGTATTTATTGTTTGATATAATCCAGTCAAAACTGGTTGGAATATAATCCTGAAAAAAATAGTTGAATAAATCAAAGCTATAAGATTAAAAGGCTGAATCTCTTAAATAGCACCTTATTTAAATGCATCCTAACTGATGGATTTTAGTTAATGACCCAAAGCAGAGAACTATTATGGTCTAAATTTGCTTTTTATGTTTTGGATTTTTGATCAGTATGTGCTTTTTTTTTTTTTACTAAAAAACATTGTGTAATTAGAAAATTGCTATTGTGTTCAAATGTATTTATTTTCTCTGCTGAGAGTGTAGAATTGAGCATAAAAAACAACTAAGCAAGCAACCCAAATCAAGAATATAATTTATTCTTGACATAGGATTATTAAGGTTCATAAAATCATAACAGAAGACCCCTTTAGATCATCTTGTCCAACCTCCTATTCTATGAAGGAATCCAATTTTGTTAATATCTCATATGGGAACTGTTTAATACATCAGTTTAATGCATCAAAATTGCAAGTCTGAATGCATTTTTCAAATTCCTGAGAATATGTATTGATCACCCCACTGGGGGATATATTCCTATCATTTGCCCTACAAAGGAGATAATTAATCTTCACATTCAAGTAACACTTTTAATTTACCACATAGATAAAGAGCTATATGACCATAGTGATCAATTTCCTGACTGTTAAAGAACCTGCAGACAGTTATACAAATCTCTACCTACAAGCTCCATCAGTTATATAAATGCTATAAATAAATAAAGTTAATCAGTTCATAGTAAGGAAGTATAAAAAGGGAAGGGGGAGAAAGATTCTATCCCAATATTTGTTGGGAATATATCAGCTATATGTTGGGAAATATTTTCAACCATTGAAATTCTTGCAACCTATTTCCTTTCTTTTTAATTAGGTTTTTTTTTTTCTAAAAGGACATTGGAAAAAGGAAATTTCTTCTAGTTTTAGGCAAAGGTTAAGAGCTTGAGAATAATCCAGACTTAAAGATTTTAATAAGTACTCATTGAATTAAAGTTTAAAATATCCAAATTAGCAGGAACCACAGAGGACATTCCAAGACAGGTGTTGCTTCAGCATTATTTAGTTTCAGCGGAGAGCTTTAGAGTTGATGCTGTTGTCCTGTCTGTCAACTTTGCCCTGATTTGGAGCACGAGATGTGAGCTCCTTCTTGCTTGATTCCCAAGAATGAATTTGATCTGTTGGGATGAAGCCGAGATGGAGTATGAAGAATAGTATTGTCATTGTCATAATGGTCATTTTGTTGTTAACAGCCAATGGACAATAACATTGCTGTGTCTCTCCATCTTTTTGAATGGCACATTATACAGAAAATTAAATGTTACAGGCATTGGAGTTTTTAAAGATGCTCATTTTTAGGCATTAAAATGTGATTTCAGTCCGAGACCCTTGACTGACTAATGACTTCTTAAAGCTTTCAGTTTCAATATCAGCTAATCTTGGAAATATTTTCTGCCGTCATTGGACATTTGTGCTAAAATGAACCGCATTAAAACAGCACAGAGCTATCAACAGGAAGAGGGATAGAGAGCCGGGTACTGCATCCACAACTTAATTCACTATGTTTTCCTAATGAAGTTAACTGCAAAAGGGGTTGAGGATTTTGGAGTATATAGGGAATAAGAATTGCTGGCTTTTTGAGTTTTGGGGTTTAGAAGGCCTGGCAGTTTCACTCTCCCTTGACTTTGCATTGGAAGTTCCCCCCCCCCCAAATGTTATTTTCTTGAGCTTATTTCTGGTATAGCTGTATTATTTTGGCTTAGTGGTGTATCATTGTTTCTTGGGTTCAGATCCCTGGTCTGTAAAATAGGAAAGATTTTATCCTATCTTTCATACCACCAATGAAATGCGTTAATGTTTCAGCCGAATTAAAAGTTTTGCTTGGCTAGGAATTTAATAGTGACCACATTCTTATTTACTTGTCCTGCTTCTTTTCAATTACCAACATATTAGCAATCCATACCAGCTCATGCAGCACTGCAATTATATTTGAGCTAAATGCAAAGTATAAAGAAGCAAGCTTTAATGAGCAGTTCCTCTCAAAATTGTGCTTTTTAATGGTATGCTCTTTCCTTTTGTAAATGGGGAACAGCAACTCATCAGGTAGAGTGGGGGTAGAATAATTGTTTTGGTGATGATGAAGTTATCCATTTAAACATGTCTGACTCTTCGCAATTCTAAGGGCCAGGTCTATCCACATCTTCCAATCTTGCAATACTTTTTTGGATTGTTCTATGTTCTGACTGGTGTCAGCTTTGATAGTGTCCACCCACCATGTTCTTTGGTGGCCTGGTTTCCTTTTACTGCTAATTTTTCCCTACATAATTGTTTTCTCCAGTGAATTCCCCCACATGACATGGCCAAAATAAGTGAGATATAGTTTTGTGATTTTGCCTTCCAGTGACATGTCTGGTGTTATGCACTCTAGTACTTGCTTATTGGTCCCTTTTTCTGTCCAAGGAATTATTCTTTTATCTGGGGATATTTTCATGTACAACATAGGAGCAATGTGTGGATTGCATGAGTCCCAGCAATATTCATTTTGTATCCTCCAGTCTATATACAATCCCCTTCTCCCATAGGCTTTTGTTGTTGTTGTTATGGAGCTGGGGATGCAGCTTAAGGGGTAAAATTGGGGGTTTAAATCACACTCACTGGGAAATAAGTAATGGTCCTTAAAGTCAGTTCAAACTCCTAATCACTATAGTTTTCTTGGCAATGCAGTTTTCTTGGCTATGCTTTTCAGAAATGATTTGTCTCTGCTTTCTTTCTAGGGTTGAGAGAAGGACTGGCCCAATGTTATCCAGTTGGCTTTTATGCTTAAGGCAGAATTAGAACTCACAATTCCTCAGCATGTAGTCCAGCACCTTTAACTACTAGACCAGGGGTAGGCAACCTTGGCTCTTTTATGACTCGTGGACTTCTAGCTCCCAGAATTCCTGAGCCAGCATGGAATCATAAATGAACCAAGGTTGCCTACCCCTGTACTAGACCAAACTAGTTTTTGGGATATAAATATAGCAAACAAACAAAAAAAAAGAATCCTATTTCCACCGACTTTTCAGATATGACCATTGGAATGCCAAGTCTCAAGTGGCACTTGAGATTATGAAATTATGCAGTCTTGAAATAGGAATAAGAAGGGATCTTGTAGCCATCTATCTAATATTGAAATACATCTTCCAATTTCCTTTCTACACTTTGGCCATGATGGCTGGGCTATAAGATGCTGTAATCCAGGAACATCTGGAAGGGATCAGAAGTTCCCACTGCTGGCCTAGCATGTAGGTTTTCAGTCAAGAAAACTAAAGAGCAATGTTGATAGTGCAGTCAGTCAATGAATCCTTACTAAGTTGCAAAATCTTATTGAAGTTCATATAGGGTTTAAGGCGTTAGATTAAGAGAAAACCAACTTCAAATCCTGTCTCAGCTATGGAATTTGGCTGGGTGACTGGGCCAATCCCACTCAATTCACTGGATTACTGTTATGGGAATACAATGAAAGGACACTGTTTTGCAAGCTCACATTTGTTCCTAGAGAACATATGGGATATAAATCTAATGAATCTCCAAAATGTATTTATTTATAACATTTATATGCCACTTCAAAGCCATGGATATGCTTGGACTCTCAAATCTCATGTTACCTTCATTCCAAAGCACTTGAAAGCAGGACAAGAAGCAGTGTGTGGAAAGGAATCAAGGAGAGAACCAATCTAGAACTTTCTTGATGGTGACAGCACTTAATCAGTGGAATGGCTTGCCTTCAGAAGTTGTGGTTGCTCCAACACTGGAAGTTTTTAAGAAGAGATTGGACAGTCATTTGTTTGGAATGGTATAGGGCAGGGGGTAGGCAACCTTGGCTCTTTTATGACTCGTGGACGTCAACTCCCAGAATTTCTGAACCAGCCATGCTGGCTCAGGAATTCTGGGAGTTGACGTCCATGAGTCATAAAAGAGCCAAGGTTGCCTACCCCTGGTATAGAGTCTCCTGCAGTGCAGGGGTTTGGACTAGAAGACCTCCAAGATCCCTTCCAACTCTGTTATTCCATTATTCTGTTCTGTTATTCATGTCCCTATTTATACAAAGCTTTCAAGTTACCTAGATAGGATTGCAAGTAATGCTATTAATTTCCCAACTTGTCTTTTGCAAACAATTAAGTAACTATTAAATTAAAGGGGTGGAAGAGAAACAGAGATGTTATTTCTTTGTATGCTCAATGTGATGATATACTATATTACACTAATGTTGGAACGCTATATACTTTTCATTTTTTACATACAATGCTTGAATTCTGTGCTCTTAATTGCATTTTAATGGTGGGGAAAGAGGGAACAAGGATCCTGGAACTCATAACAATTTCTTCCCCGTCTTCAATTAAACAACAATTTTTGCCAAGTCTCAAATCAAAAACCCTTCCTTTCTTTTTCCAATATATAGAAAACGTGGGAAGAGATTGTTTTCTAAAGTGCTTTTAAGTTCAAAATCAACTGTGCTTTTCACAGTGCCAAAATACAGATGGTCTCAGGTTCAGTTTTCTGACTCTCCAAGTATGGATGGGAAATCCTGAAGACAATGGGTGGTCGTCTTAGACAACAGGAGTGTGCAATATTTGTCAGTCATGGGCCAGAATGATCCATTCCTCTCCAGACTGTCAAATCAATTCCAAGTCATTTTGTTCTGGAGATAATTGGCGGCTTCCAGAAGTAAATCCTCTAAACCAGAAGTGGTTTGAGATGTTTTAGATGTGATATTTTGGATGAAAGAGACTGCTGAGGGCTGGCCCATCTGCCAGATCACCTTGAATTCAGATGATTGACATTTCAGAACAATTGAATGCCCCCCCCCTCCCCAGAAGGGTATGATCTAGAGGCAAACAGAATTCTCTGAAAGTAAGGAGAATGTTCTTTTTCTGGATTAATGAATTTTGCACATCTCTATTAAGCTAAATGAAGCAGTAATCTTGTGTGCAAAGAACAACTTTCTATGATCTATATTATTTAAGCCATAGATACATTACTTTTCTGGGAGAGATTGGGAGTTAAGAATTAATTGCCTAGCAGAGTTAAGGATTCATGTGATCAGAATCTGTGGGGCTGCCACAAAGAAGTATTTGTCTGTGTGTATAGGGAGGTCAACCTATTCTCCAAGGCACCTGAAAGCAGAACAAAAAGCAGTGGATGGAAACTCATCAAGGAGAGAACCAATCTAGAACTAAGGAGAAGTTTCATGGCAGTGAGAACAATTACTCAGTGGAACATTTTGCCTCCAGAAATTGTGGATGCTCCAACACTGGAGGTTTTTAAGAAGAGATTGGACAACCATTTGTCTGAAATGGTATAGGGTTTCCTATTAGAGCAGCGGGTTGGACTAAAAGACCTTCAAGGTCCCTTCCAACTTGGTTATTATGAATAACCAATAAGTGGGTGTGGATCAAAACAAAAAGTGTTCATATTGAGAATAAAAAAAAATAATCTTATCCATAAGTTAATTCCCTCCTGAATTTTCCTACTTCTATTTTAATCAATCCTGCAACCATTAAGTTGAATTGTATTGTACTCACCAAATGTCAGCAGTCATTAAAAAGCTGCCTGGAAGTTGAATGAAAAGTCTTTGGGGCTGGTGCTTAAAGTTGCATGCCATGATTTCAGTGCTGTATCTAATGCAGTTGACAATGAGATCTTCTTTCTGCACTAGCTCCTTTCCCCTTGCTCACATATTTTCCATAACGCAGGACGGCAGAGATAATTAGCCTTTTTATATCTACTAGAGTTCTGCCTCATGATGCATTCACTCAACCGAGTTCTTCTCTCTGTATCAATCATCTCTCATCTTGCATGTCTGCATAACCTTTTGCTGTCTTCGTTGTCATTTCTTTGTGGGTTTATCATTTCCTTCTTTGCCTAGTATTTGACAGATTAACAATCTTTAGTGGATTTTTTTTTTACACAGTCAGTTCACTGATTCATCCATGCTAGTATCTCTTTTGCTTTCTTGTAAATTAAAATTGCAAGACTTGTATATTAAAAAAGGAAAAAATAGTCAGTAGGCTCTTTTTAATACCGATGTCTTTCTGTCACAGTTATTCCACTCCTTTCCTCCTGCTGTATCTGGGATCCCTCCCATGATACCTCCAACTGGTCCTTTTGGCTCGCTGCAAGGAGCGTTTCAACCCAAGGTAAACACAGACTGTATAGTGTGAACTATATTGCTTAGGTCAGGGGTAGGCAACCTTGGCTCTTTTATGACTCGTGGACTTCAACTCCCAGAATTCCTGAGCCAGCCAAGCTGGCTCAGGAATTCTGGGAATTGAAGTTCGCGAGTCATAAAAGAGCCAAGGTTGCCTACCCCTAGCTTAGGTGTTTGTGTTGTATGCACCCATTCTTGTTTGAAGAGGATGTATGTGTGTCTTTTTTGGGTCTCTTGCAATGCCAGATATGTGATGATGGTAGTCTTTTTCATTGTCTTGAAGATGGCTGCAGCAGACTGATTGAGGAAGCCTACAACTTGGCTAACAAACAAAACTCATTTCCCTAAAGTGCCCTGACTTTTTATGCAACCTGGCCTGTCTGTTTCCATCTTGGTGTAACTGCCTGGTAGTTACTGTGGCAACTTCCTCTTTTTCTTGAGAAACTCTTTACTTAGCATCTCCTCCCTTAAATCTGAACAATGAGATGGATAGGATACCCACAGTATGGATGTAGAGGCTATTAAAAAAAGGAAAGAATGTAGTTTAAGGAAATATAGGCAGTCCTTGACTTACAACAATTCATTTAGTGACCGTTCAAAGTTACAATGGCACTGAAAAAAGTAACTTATGACCTTTTTTCACACTTACAACCCTTGCAGCAGCACCATGGTCATGTGATCAAAATTCAGACGCTTGGCAACTGACTCATATTTATGACGGTTGCTGTTTCCCAGGGTCATCATTTGCAACCTTCTGACAAGCAAAGTCAATGGAAAAACCAGATTTGCTTAATCGTGTTACTAACGTAACAACTGTAGTGATTCACTGTGGCAAGAAAGGAGATGAAATGGGCAAAACTTACTTAACAAATATTTCACTTAGCAACAGATATTTTGGACTCAATTGTGGTCATAAGTCAAGGATTGCCTATAAATATTATAGTGTCACCTCTGGGCCATTTTAGATTTGAGTAGGTGACTAAGAAAGCAATTCATGACCCGTTTAGAGGAGTAGATACGTTATATTTTAAAACCAACTTTATTTTAAAAAGTGAGAGAAAGTATAATCTTTCTAAACATTTTTCTCATGCAAAAGTAGTACACATATAGAGGAAATGGGGCTGTTAAAATCACAGACATTGTCTTAAAAGAATTCTGAAACTATAATTACACAGGAAAAGATGAAATTTAGAGCAAATGGCTCAGTGGTTAAAGACCGCTGAGCTTGTCAGGTGGAAAGCTGACAGCCCAGGTTCGAGATCCGGGTGCCACGTGACAGGGTGAGCTCCCATTATTGGCTCCAGCTCCTGCCCACCTACAATTTGAAAGCATGTAAATGCAAGTAGATAAATAGGTACCACTTCAGTGAGAAGGCAACAGTGTTCCATGCACTTCAGTATATAGTCATGCTGGCCACATGGCTGTGGAAATGTCTTTGGAGAATGCTGGTTCCCTTGGCTAAGAAACCGACATGATCACCACCCCCTGGAGTCGGAAATGACTGGAGAAGGAAACCTTTACTTTTAGATGAGGTGTCATGGATCTGCAAATATTTTGTCAATCATATAGACTTCACCCAACCTAAGGTTTGCAGAGATTTTTTTTAAAAAAGAAAAGAAATTAACATGGCCTAACAACCTTTGTTGAATTCCTTTCAGAGAGATATTTTAAACATCCATTGCCTCTTAAGTTGAATAAGGTGGGCATTGATAATCTTCCTTACTTTGGCTTTCATGTGTTGAGGCATGACTCTTTCCAATGATTTGAATACTGGATCTCGATCTGTCAGTGAATGGAAGGATTCACCCAAACGTGTCTGGATATTCCCTATAGTTTAGAGGTGGGATGAATTTGGAGAGAAAAAAAAAAAAGGGGGGGGGAGGCGCCAGTTGATTTCACACTATTTAAGTTGGGATTTGTTTCAGCCATGGTTTGTGGAATGAACAAACAATAGTGTATCAGTGCACACATATCCTTGCCAAGATTACAAATAAAATGCTTGGGTTTTCATAACTTACTATGCTAAAAGGAACTCAACAAAATTATGGTTTTGGTGTATGAATTAATTCAGAGGGAAGCCTAAGGCTTCACACTCTAAGTCAGGGGTTCTCAACCTTGGCAACTTTAAGACTTGTGGACTTCAACTCCCAGAATTCCTCAGCTGGCTGAGAAATTCTGGGAATTGAAGTCCACAAGTCTTAAAGTTGCCAAGGTTGAGAACCCCTGCTCTAAGTGCAGGAATATGAATGAGAAGATGACAACTGAGAAGTGGTGATGAGATCTTCAGACAAGCTTTCAAAGTCCAATTACTGTAAACTTTGTATTTTAGATATTTTATTTCTTTTTGTATGGAGCATTTTGTGTGTGTGTGTGTGGGGGGGGATATATATATACAGTGGAAAATTATCTTTTCAGCAGTGTGTTTTAAATCTACACTTTTTCAGCATGAATCCACAGCTATGTTTGCTCAGTGTGAACACCAGCCCCACTAATGGTGATTTAGGCTGCTTAAATATGTAGATTATGGCTCCTTAGCAAAGGCCTTCATATGTATGCTAATCAGTCTGTTAAGAATCCATTTGAATTAAATCATCCATGGCATTGTAGATGGTTTGTTTTCTGAATATTTTTTTTAAGGAAGTGCTTCCTTAACTGAGGATTTTCTCTTGATTTCAGAATCAGTTTCTCTTATGAAAGAAGAGTCTTGCAACTTAGGGTGGAAATACTTGACTTTCCCAATGCACACCTGTCCATGGGTTGAAATCAGATGCTGTAGTTAGAAATAGGGGATAGGGAAGGAAAAAAATGGGAAAGATCAGTTTTTAAATCATCATCGCTCACATTGTGAAATCATTCCACTTCAGTCTATTTAAAATGTATATTTATATTTATTTATTTATAAAATTTGGCCACCCATTTTACCACAGGATAACTCTGGGTGGCCTACATTCATAAAATATATTTTATATGTTATATTTAGTGTATATATTATACATATTACAGTGTGTACTATATACACTAAAAATAAAGAAGTTAAAAGAAGCCAATTTTCGTTGTTCTCAGATGGATTGAAAAAATGTGGCTCAAGTTTCAGCCATTTTCTTTTTTTAAAAAAATCTATTTTTCCTTACTCAGATATAGAATCTTAAAGCAAAAGCTGGATCCAGCAAGGGGAAATTAGCTGATGGACAAGTTGGTCTTTGTCCAAGATGGACATTGAAAAGACATTGAAGCAGCACTTCAACTTCCTAAAATTGCACACATCTCCATAAACTTTGAGAATGGAGTTGGAGACTCTTCAAGGCTGTTTGTTTCATCTCTGATGAGATAATCTCACTGAAGCAATGTGGGGGTTTATCTGTGAGCTTCCTCCCTTTCCAAAGCTGATTATATTTAAATATATGTATGTTTAAATAATATATGTTTCATGTATGTTACATGTGACATTTGCAGACTTCAAATCCTATTGATGTTGCAACAAGGCCTGGAGCTCTTCCCCATACGCTCCTTCAGAAGGATCCCAGGGTAAGTCCTGTGAAGTTGCAGCTACTAAAAAGAAAAACAAAACAAAACATGGAAATACTGTTTTTTTAAAAAAAATCCAAAACAAATTAAAGAAAGAAAATTATAGGTTAGTCCTTGACTCACAACCGCAGTTGGACTAGAATTTCTGTTGCTATGTGGTATAGTAGGTAGGTTGCATGAGTCTCACCTGATTTTATGTCCTTTTTTGCCCTGATTGTTAAGTGAACCACGTGGCTATTAAGCAACTCCGACTTCTGACATTCCGTTCAGGCATTTTATTCAATGCTTTTTTGTACCCTTTGATAATATGGGTCCTGAATCGGCACTAAATTACATTGGCTACTAATTCCTGTGAATCGTTTATTCTGCCCGACCACAAATGGGTGAATTAATGGAACTGAAAAAATAATTGTAGAAGATTTGTAAGTAATCTGGTCATTCTATCCCTGGGAGCATCAAGATTATAGCATCAGACTGAAGTTAAATATCTTGGGGGGCTCCCAAGGGGATTAGTTGCTTCAGCACAGGCTTTGTAATCCTCTTGGGCACTACAGCTAGTCCTCGGCTTACAACAGTTCATTTAATAACTGTTTGAATTTACAACAGCACTGAAAAAAAAAGACTTATGACCAATTTTCACATTTATGACCGTTTGTAGCATCCCCATGGTCACATGACAACTGATTCATATTTATGACGGTTGCAATGCTTTTGCGGTCATGTGATCAGCTTCTGGGACCTTCTGAAAAGCAAGGTCAATGGGGAAACCAGATTCACTTAACAACCATCTTACTAAGTTAACAACTGCAGTGATTCACTTAACAACTGTGGCAAGAATGGGGCAAAATTCACTTAACAAATGTTTTACTTAGCAACAGAAATATTGGGCTCAATTGTCATAAGTCGAGGACTACCTGTACCATTCTTTCTGGATTCTTGACCCATAAAGCAAGTGCTGTAAATGTAGAATGGGGTATGGTTGTACTTCTGAGTCTTTAGCCTGCTATCGTACTGCTCAGAATAACAGAATAACAGAGTTGGAAGGGAATTTGGAAGTCTTCTAGTCCAACTCCTTGTTCAAGCAGGAGATCCTATATCATTCTGGACAAATGGTTGTTCAATCTCTTCTTAAAAACCTCCAGTGGGGGACTCACAACAGATGGAGGGAGGTTGTTCCACTGATTAATTGTTCTGATTGTCAGGAAATTTTTTCTTAGTTCTAGGTTGCTTGTCTCCTTGATTAATTTCCATCCATTGATTCTTGTCCTACCTTCAGGCGCTTTGGAAAATAGCTGGACTTCTTCTTCTTTGTGGCAGCCCCTGAGATATTGGAACACTGCTATCATGTTACACCTAGTCCTTCTTTTCATCCTAATACTTCTCACTGTCTATGCATCAAGTGCTGTTGACTTCAGACAGATACATAGAAGTTCCATCTCATTGGGAATGTCCATTCCTAAGAAGTCCAGTTCTATGGGGGACTTATTGTCATGGTCAGTTGGATGGTCACAGGCATTTAAAGTTGGAATATGGTATTGCTGGCAAATCCAGCATTGGCACCTGTGCTTTGTTCTTCATATGTTAGCCCCACGCCCAAAGAAAAACATAAATAAGGTTTATAGGATGATATAACAGCCTGAAAAAGGACAAGTAATTACTTGAGCTTCCATGAATTCCTTCAAAAAGGAATCAAAGCCCTCTAATAATATGAGTCAGTTCTTGGGTATTTGAACATCACTTCATCTGAGTTCAGCACAGTTTAATCCCAATGAAGTGTGTGCAGGCAAAAGGAATTATGATCAGAAAGTTTTAAAAAGAAATTCAATTGTATCATAGCCTCAAGTCCCTAGCCTGCGCTAAAAGCCCTCCAAATGAGAGTTTCCTTCATAAGTCATAAATAGTGCTGACCGTAATACAGCACATTCTTAAATTTCTGAAACTGATGCAATCAAATCAGCTCCAAAGATCAATTCAAATTTAAATAGGCCGCTATGGACACAATAATTTGATTTTCTCTAGATTGCATTTTATATCCTTACCCATTTTCATAACTTAAGGCATTTGATGCTGATTATTATTTAGTTAACCACTGAACCTGTCTGTCATTGCAATTTCTAGACTCTGGAGAAAAGAGGAGAAAACTAGCATATGCTGAAAGTTGATCTAGCTGGCAGAGAAGCTGGGGGTGCGGTGGCGAGGTTTAGCACTGATGATTATTTTCTATATTGGCATTTCTCCCTTGGTGAAAAACCATCTCTTAAAACCGGAGCTTATTCCCAGTACTATTTTTCATTCATCTTGAATTTTAGAATGGAATGACTCCAAGGTGCTTCAAGAGAAGGGGATGGGTAGGAAATACAAATTAGCAATTTTTTATGGATAATTCAGCTGCTTCTCAAATGCATTCTCCCTTTTTATCTTCTTAGCCTGAAACCCAAAGTCAATTATTTCCTTTTCAGTGTTGCAGCTCCGGGACAAACTATTATTTTGGAGACTTTGTTTCCTAGGAAGTTGACTATCTGTCAGAATGATTTATATGATCACTTGCCCCTAGGCTCTCAGACTAGAGAGATAGGGATATTAAATTGTGTTATCTCTACATGTATGAGGTTTTACCTGAGGAATTTCTCAGTTCTTAACAATGTAGATCTTGTGTGGTGTCTTTATTTATACTGACCACCAAGAGTTAGTACAGGATTAGATTGATGCTCTACTGAGATTGTTCAATTCCGTATAAAGAACGGTTGCTGGAATTGGGTATGTCTAGTTTAATGAAAAGAAGGACTAGAGGGGGCATGATAGCAGTCTTCCAATGTCTAAGGGGCTGCCACAAAGAAGAAGGAGTCAACCTATTCTCCAAAGCACCTGAAGGCAGGACAAGAAGCAATGGATGGAAACTAGTCCAGGAGAGAAGCAACCTAGAACTAAGGAGAAATTTCCTGACAGTGAGAACAAATAATCAGTGGAATGACTTGCCTCCAGAAGTTGTGGGTGCTCCAACACTGGAGTTTTGAAGAAGAGTTTGAACAACAATTTGTCTGAAATGGTATAGGGTCTCCTGTCTGAGCAGGGGGTTAGACTAGAAGACCTCCAAGCTCCCTTCCAACTGTTACTCTGTTCTGTTCAGGCAGAATTCTTAAAAGTCTCAATATAGCAGTGTTATTCAACCTTGGCAACTTTAAGACATATGGACATCAACTCCTAAAATTCTGGGAGTTGACATCCACACATCTTAAAGTCACCAGGGCTGAATAACACTGCAATATAAGGTAAAACCAGCCACGTTCTACTTTTTGGTGGTGAATTTAAAACAATTAACAAGATGGATTGGGATTATTTATTTGCTAATTTATATAAATAAAACATTTTCTCTTCACCATTCTTCAGCCAGAAAGCTCCCAGAATGACTTATAAATATTAGCATTATCCCCCTTGGACACACAGACAAAAACAGATGGGAAGGCAAGATGGGTTAAACCAGATTTGATCCTCCCGCAATCCTTATGAAGACTAAATGGGAAACCAACAATTCAAATACATTGGCTAGAAAAACAGCTGGCAGTAGGCATAAGTCCAAAGCTGACAAAGCACTTGCTTTGTTTTTCTCCTGTCTCTATTAAGGTAACAGGAAGTGCTTACTTGGGGCTACATCTACAACTTAGAATATGCTAACGTTTTCCATTTTCAGATTCTTAACAGTGCTGATGTAGATTTTAATTCTCTCTCTCCCTCTCTCTCTAGTTGACAGATCCATTCAGGCCCATGTTGAGGGTAAGATGACAACTAACCCTTTTTTCCTTGTTTCGCTATGCCACTTCTGCTTTTCTTAGAATTTTCCCCAGCTGCACTCCTCTTTGATTGTTGCCTGCAAAATGCACTGATCACAAGGCATCATTTATTCCTCCTTTAAAAAGTGGGTCACCTTTTATGCTATATAAAAATTACTACTCATGCAGTTTGTCATAAAATCATGAAATTTTGGAAGGGAATGGACCACAAAAGTCATCTGATCCAGTCCTCTACAATGTGCCATGTGCAACAAAAATAACGAGAACTTCTTTGAGAGGGGGCTACCCAGCCTCTTAAAAACCTCCAGGGATGCTGAACCCACATATTTTTTTGTCCCTTGCATCAAATGCAAGATTTCCTAGTAGCCACCCAAGAGCATCTTGGCATGTGCCAAAGATTTTCCAGACAAATGCTAAGGAATTACCCACAATATGTACAATATGTGTAGCCAGCTTGGAAGCCATGGAATATATGCCAAAGAGTTTTCCAGACCACTTGGCTTTAATCAATCCTGCAGACAGTCCCACTGCATGTATATATCTTCCCAGCCATGTACTTCCTAAAATGACTGCCAAAAGTTTTGGCAAGCAAGCACTTCAGAGAAGACATTGTTCACCTCCTTCCAACTGTTCACCACAACGAGTGGTACTTCTGACATTCTCCAGTTTTGATCATCATGGTAGGGATGAACAATGCATGTGTCAGCACCTGGACAACTTTTGGTACTTGCTGAGGAGATTCGAGGTTGAATAGCTTGGGGACAAGTGGTGGATGGTCCTCAAGGTTGCTCAACCTGAAACCAAGCACTTTCAAATCACCCAAATGGTTTCATGTAGGCATTGGTGATATTTTTGTTTCAGTGAAGTGAGTGATATGTCTCCACGGCTCAGATCACTTTATTGAAATAAGTTGTGGCTTATAGGCTACCCAGCATCATCAGAGGTTTACTTTGCAGGCCATGGTAGATGGACATGATTATTTTCTCTCTCTCATATTTTTTTTCCTTTATCACACTGACTTTGTCATTAAAGTTCAACCCCTACCCGATGTCTTAATATAGCTAACTTAACAGCCAGTGTAAAAGCACTCTATGTTTGATCACAGAGTCTTTCTAAATGGTTTGGTATGAATAAAAGTGAAGGTGGAAAGAAAGAAGATGAAGGCCTGTGTTGGTGGGCTAAATGTTTGACTATGGGCTATCACTGATGTCCATGCTTACATCTTTGATACCTTATCAAACAGTTGGCACCATACAGGTTGTCCTCGCTCTCCATTTTACAAGCTGATCCTGTTATTTCTGTGGCAATGTGTGAATCCTCCTTCACTAATGGAAAGTGCTATATAACTTACATAAAAGGTGGTTTAAAGCAGGGTGCACAACTTTTCCCAACTAAAAATTGGCTCATGGTGGAGGCTCATAGTTTAAAAAAATAAATAAAATAGATAGACAAAACCCAGACACGATTTCAGTTTATTTTTAAATGCAGTGATGGTTAATAAAATCAATCTCCCACATGGGATTAACAATTTTTCTTTTCCATCATATTAAAAAATGAAATTTGGTCACAATTTTTGGAAGGATCTGAGTCTTTGATGGAAGGGAATGAAGTTTTCTGCTGAACCATGCAGTTGTAGGGCCCTCAGTTTTGAATTTTTGCTTAAATGTACATAATGCTACAACTTTTGTGAATCTAAAAAGCAATTGTTCTCATTAGTGCCTGGATAGGAGACTTCTTATAGAACACTGCATTGTTTTTTGTGTTTAAAAAATCCCACTGATGGCAATTCTCAAGCAACAACAGGTTAACACTTAAAATCTCATTATTTCTATAGCTAAGAGGTATTATTTTCAATACTTTTAAATACTTGTTCCCTTTTTTTTGTAGAAACCAGGCAAATGGTGTGCTATGCATGTTCATATTGCTTGGCAGATCTACCACCATCAACAGAAAGTCAAGGTGAGCTCTTTTGGGCAAAGAGTGATTGATTGTTTGTTTGTTTGATTGATTCATATCAGACTCTTTATGAGGTCCATAACTTAATGGCAGAGCAAGAGTTTTACATGGAAAAGGTCTGGGGTTCAATCCCTGAAAGCTCTCAAGAAACTTCCAAGAGACCCAGTCAATAGAAGCTCCTCTCTGCCTAATGCTTTGGAAAGCCACTGACATTAAAATGAAGCAATACTGGACCAGCTGGTCTGTTTAAGGCACTTCTTACACTTATATATGTCAGGTAGAGAACCTGTGGTCCTCCAGTTGTTATGACATTGGAAACTATAGTTCGGTCAGGCGCAAAGAATCAGGACCTTCATAAGGATTGATATAGAGGATTTATTCAGCCTATACATAAGAATCTGGTCAACTAAAGTTCAGCAGTAAATTAGCACCAGATAAGGATCAATAGAATTCAGGAGGAATTGGATTTGGAGCGCTTGTGGGAATGCAAGGACTCTAAACCGATGATGCACTTAACTCCGCCCTTCCCTAGTTCCTCCTGCTCTTCTACTACATGTTCAGCATCATCTGAATGGCCACAGGTTCCCCTATGCTCAATGCTATTCTATATGTCCATAGTCAAGAATATTAACTTCTTGGCTTCCAGTTCATAAGCATGGATTAGATATTGGCATCTATAAGACATGCTTTATAAAAACAACCTGATCTCTCCTTGATTTCCAAAGTACCATGGTATGTTCCTTTTTTGGAAAAAAAGATCTGCCACCTTCATGATTTTTTCCCCTTATTTCAGAAACAGATGCAGACAGATCCTCATAAATTGGACTTTGGTTTGAAACCTGAATTTCTGAGCAGACCTCCGGGTCCCAGTCTTTTTGGGGCCATTCATCATCCTCATGATTTAGCCCGGCCATCAACTCTTTTCTCTGCAACCAGTGAGTTTGTAAACCACCAATTTGCTCTCTGTTTGGAAATGGAAGAAATGGAAGGGTGGGCAGTATGATATAGACTTCAGCAATACACGATAGTCTTTTTTTTAACTGATAAATATGATCAAATAAACTTCATGAAATAAAATTTCAAGTCAAAAAGACTTGAAAGAATTCCCCTGGTTTGCTGTTGTTTTAAATGCATTCTTCTCTTGATCAGAATTTCAGCAGGGTGGAGTACGCATGTACGGGTAGTCCTCAACTTATAACCACATTTGAGCCCAAAATTTCTGTCACTAAGCGAGACAGTCATTAAGTGAGTTTTGCCCCATTTTACAACCTTCCTTGCCACAGTTGTTAAGTGAATCACTGCAGCTGTTAAGTTAGCAACATAGTTGTTAATTGAATCTGGCTTCCCCATTGACTTGCTTGTCAGAAGATCAGAAAAGATGATCACATGACCCCAGAACGTTGCAGCCATCGTACATACGAACAGGTTGCCAAGTGTCCGAATTTTGATCATGTGATCATGGGGATGATGCAAAGGTCGTAAGTGTGAAAAATAATCATAAGTCCCTTTTTTCAGTGCTGTTGTAACTTCGAACAGTCAATAAATGAATGGTTGTAATTAAGGACCACTTTTGCTGCTCATATGCTCATTTGAGATAAACAGATATATTAAAATCAAAATATTGGAAGGGGTGTTTAGGCCATTACGTTCAGTGTGCTGCAATGTGCAGGAATCTAGTATCCCAATCTCTCTGGCTAAACCAAATCAAAGCTAGGATACAGTTGGCCACACTGGAAGTGCTGTACTCAAATGTTTTGGTTTGCTTGCTTTTGAATGTGTTTTCCTAGGTGCCCACCATCCAGCCGGTCCTACTTTTGGCCCACCCTCGCACCACAGCAACTTTCTCAACCCAGCAGCCCATTTAGGTAAGTAGAAACTCTCAAACTAAAATAGTCAGAATCTTCTTGCTTCTGAAAGGCTATCCTAGATTTCAGGATATTATCCAAAGGTCCATGATTTCAAGACGTCTAGTCAACGTCTACTCAGGAAACTGCTTCCGATCCCTTTCTTTCATGTTGAGTCCTTTTGTGGAGAAAAGGTGGGGTGCAAATCTTGGAGATTATCACAGAGATGAGGTGACAAATGATTTTTTAATCTGCATTGGATGGGAGAAGACCATTTATATTTTGTTGAGACTCTAGAAAGAGTACAGAAAAGAGCAACAAAGACGATTAGGGGACTGGAGGCTAAAACATATAAGGAACGGTTGCTGGAATTGGGTATGTCTAGTTTAATGAAGAGAAGGATCAGGGAGGATATGATAGCAGTGTTCCAATATCTCAGAGGCTGCCACAAAGAAGAGGGAGTCAAGCTATTCTCCAAAGCACCTGAAGGCAAGTTGAGAAGCAATGGGTGGAAACTAATCAAGGAGAGAAGCAACCTAGAACTAAGGAGAAATTTCCTGACAGTTAGAACAATTAACCAGTGGAACAACCTGCCTCCAAAAGTTGTGAATGCTCCAACACTGGAAGTTTTCAAGAAGAGATTGGTCAATCATTTGCCTGAAATGATATAAGGTTTCCTGCCTGAGCAGAGGGTTGGACTAGAAGACCTCCAAGGTCCCTTCTACCTCTGTTATTCTATTCTACTTTAGAGCCTGAGAGCTTCCATATGCTAGTGTGGTGCAGTGTAGTCTGTCTTTCTTCATTTTATTTCAAATATGGTCTCTTGTTCTGGGCTTCCTTCTTCCATCACGTCAATACGGTGCTTTATATGTTCAAAGTTGTCAACACAAAGTGAAGAGTAAATCAGTGTGATGGTTTACCTCTACTTCAATGTTCCACTGAACGTTTCCACATCCAAAGAGCAGAGTGACTTGTCCTTTATAATTTTTTCTCCACAACTTTAATCTTGGTGTAACTACGTTGATGTAACTTACAGTGTTTAAACTTAAAAGGGTGCTGTAGCTCAATGCTTTAAAGATGCTGGATTTGCCGGCCAAAGATGTTCGGCACTCCGGTGATTCAAGCCCACAGCACCATGTGCCGGAGTCAGCTCCTGTCATTTGTCCCCAGATAGTGCTTTGAAATCATGTAAAAATGTAAGTAGACAAATAGCTACCATGTTGGTGGGAAAAGCTAGCAGTCTTCCATGTGGAAATGGATGACAGTGTCGGACCTGCCCAGATGTCAGGCAAGGCAGGCAAAAAAAAGCCTGGATGACCTGATATCCCTGGGGCAAAGCTAGTTCACCCCAATGGTATGCCATGGATAGTATGCATGTGTGAATGAACGAACTAGCAATCTTAGGTTGCCAGAACTACTCTGTGGTAAAAAACATTGTAGACTTCCCTGCTTATGTATGCCATAACGCTAAAAAAAAGAAAAGAAAGAAATTGCTTAAACTCTGAATGTCACTGCTGCATTCTGTGGCAAGTATCAGATATGTAGAATAATCCATGACCAGCTTTGATGATGTTACTTAGTTTAATAATAATAATAATAGTAAAGTTGGAAGGGACCTTGGAGGTCATCTAGTCCACCCCCCTGCTCAGGCAGGAAACCCTATACCATTTCGGACAAATGGCTGTCCAGTCTTTTCTTAAAAACTTCCGTGTTGGAGCATTCACCGCTTCTAGAAGCAGGTTGTTCCACTGGTTAATTGTTCTAACTGTCAGGAAGTTTCTCCTTAGTTCTAGGTTGCTTCTCTCTTTGGTTAGTTTTCACCTGTTGCTTCTTGTCCTGCCTTCACACACCTTGGAAAATAGCTCAACACTCTCTTCTTTGTGGCAGCCCCTGAGATATTGGAACACTGCTATCATGTCCCCCCTCGTCCTTCTCTTCATTAAATTAGACATCCCCAATTCCAGCAACCGTTCCTTATATGCTTTAGCCTCCAGTCCCCTAATCATCTTTGTTGCTCTTCTCTTTACTCTTTCTAGAGTCTCAACATCTTTTTTACATCGCGGTGACCAAAACTGGATGCATTATTCCAAGTGTGGCCTTACCAAGGCATTGTAAAGTGGTATTAACACACTTCACGTGATCTTGATTCTATCCCTCTGTTAATGCAGCCTAGCACTGTGTTGGCCTTTTTGGCAGCTGCAGCACACTGTTGGCTCATATTTAGGTGATTGTCCACTAGGACTCTGAGGTCCCTCTCGCAGTTACTACTATTGAACAAGTTACCCCCTATACTATACCTGTGCATTTGGTTTTTCTTGCCTAAATGTAGAACTTTGCTTTTTTCACCACTGAATTTCATTTTATTAGATAGCGCCCAGTGTTCAAGTCTGTCCAGATCTTTCTGTATCTTTAGCCTGTCTTGTGGAGTGTTGGCTATTTCGGCCAGCTTGGTGTCGTCTGTAAATTTGATGAGTTCCCTATCTATCCCCTCGTCCAAATCGTTGATATAGATATTGAAGAGCACTTGGCCCAGAACAGAGCCCTGGGGTACCCCACTACACACTTCCCTCCATATAGATGCAGTTCCATTGAGGACCACACGCTGAGTACAGCTGGTCAGCCAGCTACGGATCCATCTGGTGGTGGTGCTTTCTACCCCACATTTTTCTATCTTGTCAAGGAGTAGGTTGTGATCTACTTTATCAAATGCCTTACTGAAATCCAAGTAAATTATGTCCACAGCATTCCTCTGATCCACTAATTTTGTCACTTGGTCAAAGAATGCAATAAGATTTGTCTGGCATGATCTATTTTTGACAAACCCACATTGGCTTTTAGTAATGACTTTGTTTGCCTCTAGGTGTTCATTGATTTGTTGTTTGGTTATCTTTTCCAAGATCTTCCCAGGTATTGAGCTCAGGCTGATAGGTTTGTAATTTCCTGGGTCCATTTTTTCCCCTTTTTTATAGATGGGAACTACATCAGCTCTTTTCCAGTCCTCTGGTAGTTCCCCTGTGCTCCAGGATCTTTGAAAAATATAGTTCAGTGGTTCTGAGATCACATCTGCCAGTTCCTGGAGAACCTGGGGGCGTAATCCATCTGGTCCTGGCGATTTGAACTCATCTAGGCTGGACAGGTGCTCACTTACCATTTTTTTGCCTATCTTAACTTGCGTTTCTATTCTGTTTTTTATGGCACTATTTTCGATAGGTTGGTCTGTTTTTTTCCTTTGTGTAAAGGCAGATGCAAAAAATGAGTTAAATAGTTCTGCTTTCTCCCTGTTGCTTGTCACCTTCTTGCCACTTTCACCCACTAATGGACCAATCGTTTTCTTTACTTTTTTCTTGTTTTTTACATGTTGAAAGAAGCTTTTTTTGTTATCTTTGACTTTGGTCGCAAGTCTTAGTTCATTTTGAGCCTTGGCTTTCCTCACTTCATCTTTGGAGGCTCGGGCTATTTGCTGATATTCTGATTTAGTTATGTGCCCCTCTTTCCACTTTCTATACTTGTCCTTTTTATCTTTCAATTTGTCAGAGAGTTCTTTATGCAGCCATGCTGGTTTCTTTTGAGAGCTGTTATTTTTCCTCTTTGTTGGTATTGTGCTAGACTGGGCTTTTATTATCTCATTTTTCAAAATTTCCCAAGCTTCTTGAGTTGTTTTCCCCTTGAGGGTTCTCATCCATTGAATCCTTCCCAAGCCCTCTCTAAGTTTATTGAAATTAGCTCTCTTGAAATCCAAGACTCTAGTTTGACTGTGTTCTATTGCTTGTGGTTCCATAATGTTGAATTCCAATAATGCATGATCACTTCCTCCCAGGGTTCCTATGGCTTCAACACCTTCTATTATTTCATCTCTGTTAGTGAGAATTAGATCCAAAATGGCTAATCCCCTAGTTCCCTTCTCTACTTTTTGGGAGACAAAGTTGTCTGCTAGGTTTATCAGGAACCTATTTGATCTTTCACTTGGTGCAGAGTTTGTCTCCCAGTTGATGTCAGGGTAGTTAAAGTCCCCCATTACTATTTTGATGTGCTTCCTACATACTTTATTTAGCTGACTAGCAAAAAGTTCTTCTATTTCCTCTGTTTGGCTGGGTAGCCTGTAGTAAACACCTATGGCAATGTCATTTTTTCCCCTTTTATATTGACCCAAATACATTCAAGACAGTTTTTATCATTGTTGTGCTCTATTTCTGTAGAGATGTAGTTATTTCTTATATAGAGAGCAACTTCACCTCCTCTTTTATTTGGTCTGTTTCTTTTAAATAATTTAAATCTCTCTAGCTGTGTGTTCCATGTGTGGGTTTCATCCCACCATGTTTTTGTAATGGCAGCAATATCATATCTGCCCTCATTAACCTGAATTTCTAGTTTACCCTGTTTTCTGTTCATACTCTGTGCATTGGTGTATAGACATTTGAGTCCTTTATGACCGGCCCTATGTTTACTTTCTACATAACCTGTGTGGTGCCTGAGTTCCCCTATTGTCTTACCACCTAATTGGTTAGTGCACTTTGTGTGGCACTCACTATTAGAGGCTTGATTTTGCTTGATAGCAAGGTTGGTATTCTTACATGCACTGATAGCCCTATAATTTTTAGATTGCCGGGGACAGGGTTGTTCTGTATCAATTAACTCACTGTCCCCGCTGTTTAGTTTAAATTTTCCTTCAGAAAATCTGTGAATTTATAGCCGAGTAACTCAGTCCCTTTCTTTGATGGATGCAAGCCATCTCTTTTGTACATCTTTTCATTGGACCAGCTACAGACATCATGACTAATATATCCAAAGCCTTCCCCTTTACACCACTCCTTTAGCCACATATTGAATTGTGCTATGCACTGGCCTTTTCCATTTTGCTCCTTGTACACTGGTAAAACCTCTGAGAAAGTAAGCCTACAGTCTATTCTGCTAGGTTCCTTCCCCAAGCTCTGGAAATCGTTCTGCACAGAGAGTACATCTTTTTGGGACAGATCGTTAGTGCCAAGATGTACAATAGCCTCCACATCACCGTCCTTGCTGCCATTCTTGATTATTTTAGAAATACGTTTCTTGACCCTACTGGCAGTAGCACCTGGAAGACACCTGACTTCTTTCAAAGCCTCTGTGTCCTTTCCTAAATTTACATCCCTTATAATTGAATCACCTACCAGAAGGTAGCTTTTTGGATGCCTTTCTGTTCTTGCATGACTGATGTGTAATACCTTTCCCTGTCGAAATCTAGTTCTTCATCTCGGACCACAATCCCCTGCTTATTTGAGTTTGGCCAATGAAACATCTTCAAAAAAACAGCCAAGCTCAGAGAGCACCAAGGATCCTTTAGACTAACACAAATTTTAACTGGAGAGTTTGTAGTACAGGCAGTCCTTGACTTACGTCTGGTCACTTAGTGACCATTTGAAGTTATGGCCTACCTGGAACAAGAGAGTGAAGGCCTGTTCTGAAATTCTGATAATTGCACCCCTCCCTTTCCCCCTGGAGTCATGTCACCACAACACAGCTGCCCTGATGGCCATTTGCAGAGTCCCACCATCACATAACTACATTTAAGATGGTTTTGCTGAAAACAGGAAGTTAAAACTATGCCATAGTAATCCATAGCTTCACTTAATGACCACAGCATCTGTTTAACAGCTGTGGCAGTTATTTTATGATTGCTACATTCACTTAGTAACCACCACAAAGAAAGGTCATAAGAGAACCTTTGATCATAATAGGCAGGCTTTATTACAGTCGTATGTCTAGGACAGGATAGGCAACCTTGGCTCTTTTATGACTCGTGGACTTCAACTCCCAGAATTCCTGAGCCAGCCTTGCTCAGGAATTCTGGGAGTTGAAGTCCACAAGTCATAAAAGAGCCAAGATTGCCTATCCCTGGTCTAGGATTACCTGTAGTTTATCTGTCCTAGACTAGCTGTTCAGTGCTGGGATCTAACAACTATTGCTATTCCCATCTCGGTGGGTGGGTATTCCTTTTTTCTTAAGTTCTTCCAGAGCAGGGATCTCCAAACTTGGCAACTTTAAGACTTGTGGACTTCAACTCCCAGAATTTCTCAGCCATTCTGGGAGTTGAAGTTCACAAGTCTTAAAGTTGCCAAGTGGTGGGTTAATCTTCTAGAACACAGGTGTCAAACTCGCCACATCACAGGACGTGTCTCAACGTACTGTATCATGACTTTTTTTGCATTGCCGGAGCTAAGGTGGGCATGGCCTCCGTATGATGCAACCGGCCCACAGGCCGGCAGTTTGACACCCTTGCTCTAGAAGAGTGATTCTAAACCTCAACAACATTAAGATGTGTGGACTGGGGAATTCTGGGAGTTGGGAGTCCACATATCTTAAAATGAAGCAGCCTGTTCCATTTTCTGAAATTTCTCCTGATGTTTAGATCAGGGGTGTCTAACCTTGGCCATTTTAAGACTTATGGACTTCAAATCCCAGAATTCCCCAGCCAGCCATGAAACCCACTAGTTGCCAAAGTTGGACAGCCCCGGTTTAGATGAAATCTGTTCCCATTCAGTTTAAATACACCACTCCTTTTCTATCCTTCAGAACAGGGATGGACAATCTTTTGATGATTGAGGGTTGTGTTTAATATTCAAATGGCATGTTTGTTGCCAGGTCTTGGTTTGAGTGAGTTATTTTAATTTTTTTTAACTATTTAGTGCTTATGCTATCATTTTCAATGTTTGAGACATTTTGCTATCACAGTTTCAGTAATTATAGTCAAAAGAAGCTTGGAGGGCCACAGAAAAATTCCTTGGGATTCCTACTTTATGATTGTTCATTCAGGCCAGTTCATAGAAAAACAATTCACAGTACATTTGTAAGTGTTTCTGTTTTGAAAAAAAATTTCCTGCATATTTCCTTATTGTTTCTCATTTACTTCCTTTATTTAATTAAATTTAATTCACAGCATTTAATGAAAGAAAATTTGCTTTCCAAAGTTATTTCAGATGAAATTCTGGTAATATTCTCATGGGTGGAATTTGTATTTTTTTTTTTTTTTGTGCTTTTCTATTTATGTACTTGCAAAATGGGTGAGAACTGAATGTGAATATCCTATCTTTTATTGAATATTTTTACATTCATGGTTTCTTACCCTTCCGTTATATCCTATATACCGTATATGCCGGCGTATTAGGCGACCTGGCGTATAAGACGACCCCCGTCTTTATAGCCGGGCCGCATTCCTAGAAAGTCGTCTTATACGCCGGAAACTACCAGTATTTCTGGCGTATAAGACGACTCGTCGTATAAGACGACCCCCGTCTTTGGCGCCGATTTCAGCGCTCGCGGAAGTCGTCTTATACGCCAGCATTTATGGTATGTATAGAATTAAATAACTACCTTGGGATTTTTGTTTTGCCCAGATTGGAAAAAGAGAGCAGCCAGAGAGAATGGATAGTTATGTAATAGAATAAAATAAGTATGTAATAGAATCAAACCATCAGCATAACATTCTTCACCATCCATTTCCAATAGTGGAAGAAATTGAAAAGCACTTTAAGAAATTCTGAAATTCTCTGAGCGTCAGATAAACAAAACGCTTTTAAAACAGAGGATAATTTTGGGAAAGTTACAAAGTATATATTACGTAACATAGAACTTATATCAAATTTATTTGTTTGGTCTGAAGTTAGTCCCATTGAATTAGCATGTCCTTAAATTCACATGGTGGCTCCTTTCTGTATAAGGAAGCATCAAGTTAATGTTTTGCTTTCTGTAGTAGGAGTTCTCAAAGTCTGGAATATCTTACCTGATTCAGTTGTCTCAGACACTAACTTTCACAGTTTTAATTCTAAGTTAACATCTGTGGACCTCACACCATACTTATGAGGTCCCTCAAGGTGCGTGTGTAAGTGCACTAACTTGCCTATCGTAACTGTCACATTTTAATTTTTATATTTCTTTGCTTGTTCGAATTTGTAATTTTTGTGTGACGAATGACAAATAAAAAAATAGTAAAATGCAGTTTAAACACATACCTTCCCTTCCTCTCTCCTTCAACGTCCTTTAAACTTAGTTACCATTATTTTTCCAAGATACAAAAGAATTTCTTGATATGAAATCAAATAAATACATGTTTTTACATGCTGCCAGTTTTGCTAAAGCACAAGGAGTCACTTTTTTTTTCTTTTCCAACTATATGTTCTATTACAAGCTTTTGCAAAATCCAGATCTGATTTGTTGTAATTTGAGGTTACTATTAGCCATAGTCTTTAGTGCTTGATGGTCTGTACAATTAGGAGGGGCATCAGGTTGGGTAGCTGTAGTGAGTTACTCTATTCAATCCAAAATCTTATAGCATTATCAAGCTTCGGTATACAGTAAGCACAAGTGAAACATCAATGATTCTTCTCCTTCTCCTTCTCCTTCTCCTTCTCCTTCTCCTTCTCCTTCTCCATCTCCTCCTCCTCCTCCTCCTCCTTCTCACTCAACACCATTGCTTCCTGCTTGGTCCATTTATTGCCTCCTTTTCTATTATTTTCCTCTTTTTATCCCTTCCACTTATTCACCTTATTTCCTCTCTCTTGAATCCACGCTCTCTACATATTCTTAGCTTTCCATCTCTTTTCTTTCTAAGGACGTGTCCTGCTAATGCTTTGCTTGCCCAAGCCAAATACAAGTAAGCCACTGTTTCACCCCAGGAGGTAACACCCCTCCCATTAGCATCTTTCCGTTTGGTTTCAGAGACTTTTAATCGGCCCGCGACGTTCACCAGCCTTGCAGCCATGAGCAGCAATGCCTTCGGGGGACTTGGCAACCATGCCGTTAGTGAGTAAATTCTCCTTCGGCTCTGGCTATGTCATGCTTTGGGTTGGCTTAGTAGCAAGGGTGAAAGAACAGTACAGGTAGTCCTCGACTTACAACAGTTCATTTAGTGACCTTTCAAAGTTACTACAGGACTGAAAAAAGTGACTCATGACCATTTTTCACGCTTACGTTTCAGCATCCCCATGGTCAAGTGATCAAAATCCAGGCACTTAGCAACTGACTCGTATTTATGATGGTTACAGTGTCCTGGGGGTCATATGATCCGCTTTTGCAACCTTATGACACGCAAAGTCAACAAGGAAGCTAGATTCATTTAATAGCCGTGTTACTAACTTAACACCTGATTCACTTAACTACTCTGGCAAGAAAAAAATCATAAAATGGAGCAAAACTCATTAAACAAATATATCACTTAGCAACAGAAAAGTTGAGTTCAATCGTGGTCGTAAGTCGAGGACTACCTGTACGGATTTGTGCAGAAAAGAAAGAGAATATGGAATGCCTCTGCTGTCTATAAACCCTTTACTGACACAGAAATCTAATTCCAAGCAAAAAACAATCTCTTGCATTTCATTTTCCCTACCAGTTTACATTTCCATCCGATGAAAGGAGTCTTTCAGAAAGTTCTCGTTAGCAAAGTTTGGTGATCTTGCTGTGTTATAAAAGGGGCAAGAAGCGTGCACATCAGTGTCCTGATTTTCACTGCATAATCATGTCTCCACCAATCTGTTCTTTTTATTGCTTCCCACCTCTCCATTAAATCCCCAGTGAAGGAATCAGGAGAGAGCGCATCTCATGAAAGTTTGAATAGCAATAGCACTTAAACTTATATACTGCTGCACAGTGCTTTACAGCCCTCTCTATGTGGTTTACAGAGTCAGCCTCTTGCCCCCAGCAATCTGTATCCTCATTTTACCGGCCTCAGAAGGATGGAAGGCTGAGTCAAGGTTTGAGCCAGTGAGGATTGAACTCCTGGCAGTGGGCAGATTTAGCCTGCAATACTTCATTCTAACCACTGTGCCACCACGGCTCTTAACATTGAATATCAATCTATAGTATTGAATAGCAAACATTGAATAGCAATGTAAAGAATTTCCCCTCCCCCTGAAGGAGAATTTTGAAAAGGCATGGGTGGGGGTTAATAGGGTACAAGCAGTCCTTGACTGCCAACCACTTGTTCAGTGACCATTTAAAATTAAGAAGGCACTTAAGATATAGTGATTGTGACCGATCCTCAGACTTCCACTGTCCCAGCACATCTCTTCAGTCAGGTGTAAACTTAGTAATGAGGTGGAGTGAACTTTGGCCACTTTTGTGTATCATTTTTGTTGTGATCTTGGTGGTGCATCTCTCTTGCTCCTATTAGACTTAGACTTATTGGCTGCCTTTAATATGATTGATCATGGTCTATTTATGGACCACGTACAGGGGTTAGGGATTGGGGGTACACTGTTTCAGTAGCCCCATTTCTCTCATTTACTTATTTATTAAATTTATATGCTGCCCGTCCTACTAGTGAGAGTGTTGGGTTACATTGGGCAGTTTTGATTGACATTGGGGACATGGGATTGGCCAAGTGGCCCTTCTCTTTGAGGGCACCACATTTAACATGTCTATGAAACCACTGGGATAGCAATGGGTTGACAGGAAGGAAGGAAGGAAGGAAGGAAGGAAGGAAGGAAGGAAGGAAGGAAGGAAGGAAGGAAGGAAGGAGGGAAGGAAGGAAGGAAGGAATTTTGTAATATGGGCTGGAGTAACAACAGGTTGATTGGCTCAAAGTCACTTAGCTGGCAGTGACTTAATGGCAGCCTAGAACTCACCTAATTGCAGCCTAGAACTCACATTCATTTGGTTTCTAGGCCAGCGCTTTAACCACTACACCAGACTGGGTCTCGGTATGTAAGCTACCTTGAATTGACCAGAAACAAAGATGAGATTTTTTTTTTAAAAAAAATAAATCTTGTAATAAACAGACAAATGTTAATTTGCTTACTATTATATATTGATTTGGGTTTTGGTAAATGTATATATTTCTTTTGTATCTTTGTTTTACTGGCAGTTTTAATAGCATTTTAATACTGTTCTATGCTGGCATGAATCTCAGAAATTCGCCATTGTATAATTTTGAGGTCAATGGTTAATTCTGAATGATCATGTAATCTAATACAAATAACTCTCCTGTTTCTATGAAGGCATCTTGAATATATTAGTAGATTTCCTCAGACATCGTAATAAGAATGTTACATTAAATGGCTTTTGTAGAAGAGAAAGTCAAGTTAGGGGCAGATTAATTTTCTTACTTCAGAAAAGGTAGCTCTATCAATCAATGGTAAAAGCTAATTTTCTAATGATAAGATTGCCACTTTGGATAAAACTGAAAGGTTCCTACTGCTACAGTATTTCATTCAAAAGTAAGTAGGACTGCTCTTTGGCGTTGGAAAAGAATCACAAACCACTGTTGTCCATGTTGCTCTTGGTTGCAGAATGTAGACACTAGTAGACAAAAAAAGGGATCGGAAAACAGAAAAGAATGATATTTTGATTACTGTTTAGATTAAGCAGTGAAATGAATGTATAAGATTTGATTGCAACTGGTAACAACTGCAAGTCAACTGAATTGGGTTGAACGTATCCTATCACTGGTTGAACTCACAGTCAACCTTTATGAAAGAAGAAAACATGGCTGGTGTTTTCTCTTCATTCAAAGTACATTTAAATCCAAAGCCCTTGTAGGCAGCTAGCAAAAATTTTACAGAAGAAATAAAAGAAAAGAACAAAGGAGTTATTTTTTTAAAAAAAATCAGTAAATTGAAAAGAAAGGAATCTATTATTAAGCATACACAAAATTCCTGCTTGATTGAACAACAGGAATTATCCTGCATGTGAGCATCTCTGTTGACTTAGGAAGTTATGGATTTGGCCATTAGTATAAGTGCATTCTGAACTTTTAGGGGCATGAAGTGGGTCAAAAAGGCAAGATGGCAATCATGACCCCACAATCAAAGCCTTGTCCCTTTTCTACATGTGGGACAAATATAAACTAAAGAGGGCTTCAATCAGGCAGTCATGATTTTGAACATTTTGAGTTTGTTTGGCCCCTCCCTCTATAGATGCTCCAGCTTATATTGACTATGTTCTAATCTGCTCCTCTGGGTTATCTCCTCTGTAGGCTTCGGATGCTGCAGCTATTGTTTCAGAATTGTCTTGTTTTGTTACAATGAAAGGAAGACTAAATATTTCCCTTACACTCAAAATATGATCTCTGGATTCCTGGGGATGCTAGAGATACTTTCAGGGTACCCACAAAGTCAAATAATATAATTTCTCAGTTTTAATTTTTAATAGTCAATATTGTTAGATATAACCCATGTAAAGCAAAGCTTTGTAAGGTCCTCAATCCGGAGAACAAAAAAAAAAAAAAAAAAAAGAGAACATTGCCTTAAACTGTTGACTTAGTGAGAAAAATGTCTAAAATTTGCTGAGAATCCTGCAGGTAGTCTTCCATTTCAGTGCCCTTATTATTTTTATATGCCTTTTTATTACATTGTTGTGCTGTTGATTCTCTTGATAGACACCAAAACAAATAGGCTCCAAATGTTTTTAAAAATGCAACATATTTTGTGCTGGGCTCATTTCCTAATTAATTTGGGATTGGTTTTATGACCTTTAATACTATCTTAAGATTTCTTTGGCTGTTCCTCTTCTTCATAAAGAAATAAAAATTTAGCTGCTGAGTCACCTAAATGGCTCCCCCTGACTTTCAACAGAGGGATTGCATCTCTTCCTCTTAAATGAGGTGCTAACAATGATCTATTAATCTCCTTTCCTTTTGCAGCTCCCCATAATATGTATTCATTTTAAACTCTGAGTGCTGTTAAAATAAACAAACTTGGGTTTAATTGGTAAGTACTACCCACTGAGCATATTACTTTCTGTTCCCCCCCTCCTTCCCTCCCCTTCCACTTCACCATTTCAGCACCCAACGCTATGTTTGGCCACAAGGATTGCCCCAGCATGCAAAGCTTTAGCAACCCCCACGAGCCTTGGAATCGTCTGCATCGAACGCCTCCTTCGTTTCCAACTCCACCGCCCTGGCTGAAGCCAGGTGAGCAGGAACGCAGCGCGTCCGCTGCAGCTCATGAACGAGACAGAGATGTAGATAAAGGAGACGCTTCTCTTAGTAAAGATGACAAAGAAAGGTATGAAAAGAACACACCTGCTGAGCATCACCTGCTGTGGGATGGGGAACCACGTTGAGTTTTATTCCCTCCTTAATACATATTTAACTTGTGGTTCCAAAGACTGCTGATGGTCGATGATGACCTATAAATTATCAATAAAGGAGAATATTTGTAGCTCAGGGTTGAAATGAGGGGTCCTTGGTGCTCTCTGAGCTTGGTTGTTTTCTTGCAGACATTTCATTACCCAAACTAGGTAACATCAATGTTAGTCACTAGCCGTGATGGTGTTACCTAGTTTGGATAATGAAACATCTGCAAGAAAACAACCAAGCTCAGAGAGCACCAAGGACTCATCACTATAAATTATTCTGTACCAGTATCTCTATCTCTGTCTCCGCCTTTCTATTTATCTACCTATTTATGATCAAAATCTTGTAAAATTGTCAAGATTTTAGCCAGCAGGTTTTGACATTCTTGCTTGAAATCTCACGAGCTTTTGATATTCCTGATGAAACTTCCTGCAAGATTTTACAGGGGAACACTAAAATCCTTTGAGATCTGGGGATTTGGAAATATTTGCCATTAAAAAAATAACTGCATTCAATTTTTATGTCTTAAATATGCTCTGGGAAGTTACATTGATAGGATGCCAACATGTACCATGTTGATAATGTCCGAGTTACATCATGGTCCTCAAAAGCTTTTGATGATGACATGATCTGCTTAAAAGAACGGGTTGGGAACTGTTGTTTAGAAAAAAAGCCTGGGAAATGAGTACATATTTCAGATCTAACTTTACAGCTGTTACTTTCATTTGTGGATCTTCAAATTTCATTCTCTAGAATTTCGTGACTACAAAATACTTAGATTTGACACTAAACTAAGATTGCAACCTTTATTCGTTACCTGAAAGCTTGCTCGCTGAACCCAAAATAATAGTTAGCTTACATTGCATTTCAAACCATTTAAATATCTTGGATGTTCAATTTAATTTGGAGAATCATCTTACACGATATTTTTGTAGGGTAGTTTGGTTTTTTGTTGTCATCATAGGTTGCTGAAGAAACTTGAATATTTTCAAAACTGTTGTGGGGAACCAGGAGCCTTTAAACTTTATCTAACATTACTTCTGATTTCTGTGATAATTGGAACTAAGTGCCCAACATATATTGAGTTTCTGGTTCCTCACTACATCTCTAGAACAGCACAGGAAAGTGGGGGTGTGGAGTTACCAGAGTCTTACTTTTGTCAAAAAAGAAGGCCTGCCCTTGAATTAGGAATTTGAATTATTAAATTACAGGATGCTTTTCCAATTCTGCATCTGATACTACTTCTGATTTTTAGAAACATGTGGCAAGATCTTGATCTGAGCCAAATGGCTGAGAAGTCTTTCCTCGGGAAAATGACATAATCTTAGATTTGTTTTCCTGCAGATTCTCAGTTCAAACACTGACCAGAGAATGCTATAATAGAAAGCAGAGTCCTTGTTCTGGATCTGAACAATGACAGATCCCTATTATTATGTGGGCCTCAACCACAAATCTTTCTGTGCCTAGTTATCTCTCCACCATTCTTGCCTTTCTACATAAGAGACCACTTATATCAGGGGTCCCCAATCTCCAGGCCACAGACCAGTACCAGTCTGTGGCCTGTTAGGAACCAGGGTGCACAGTTGGAGATGAGTAATGGGCAAGCGAACAAAGCTTCATCTCTATTTGCAGCAGCTCCCCAGTGCTAGCATCACTGCCTTAGCTCCACTTCAGATCATCAGGCATTAGATTCTCATAGGAGCATGAATCCTACTCTAAACTGCATGCAAGAGATCTAGGTTGGGCGCACCTCCCCCCACCCCCCACCCCCCACCCCCGGGTTCTTGGAAAAACGGTCTCCCATGAAACTAGTCCCTGGTGCCCAAAAAATTGGGGGCCGCTGACTTACATCAATATGAATTTTATTTTTTGTTAAATACTTAGGCTTCTATGCTATCCAACTTTGTAGTGTTGAATGGTTTACAAAACACCAAAACAATTAAGTTTAGAACATTGAGTCAAATGGAAAGCTCGTTTCTAGCAAACCATGAACATTCCATCTATGGTGATAGGCTTAATCTTCCATTTTCCACAAATCTTTCTTGAAGATCACCTCGAATTATACCAGGAAGCTAACCGGCAGCCAAAGCAGCAGCCCTACAAAGAAAAAATTTAAGGTGCTCATAGTTATTTGGGCAGCCATATAACATTTTAAGATCAAGTGTGTTGGAAGGAAGATTCCGCAATCCTGCCCATGTTCAGATGAAATCAACAAGATAATCTAAGTTCTTGGGTCCTGACCCCTAGATCAAACCTAGTGCTCTCAATATTTCATCTCCTTACATGGTTTGGCCTGAAGATGAGAGATGGTGTATTTTTTACTGATGGATCAATTGACTTAAATTTCTAGGAAGGGATTCTGCCCAGTTATTATTGTTGTTAGAAGATGCTGGATTTGAATTATGTTTAAGCTTAAGTGGTCTGACTAGTTATACTTCATGTAAATGTAGAATAGTATTTAATGTTCACTCCTAATCTTTTTTCTTCTAATATATTAATTCCTTCTTTTGTTCGAATTAGATTTTTGTTCCCTTCATGGCCTTTGATCATAAATTGGATGGACAGATAGATGGATGGCACAATAGTTTGTGTAGCATCTGGCCAGGCAGTTTGGTTTCTATCTGTTATTAGCTGGCAGCAGGTAGAAAGAACTTTTCTGAATCTTGACACCAGTTATAGAAAATAAGAGGGGCACAAGTATTAAGCGATAAAATAATCTAATAGACTGTAGTCATTTACAACAACAACAACACCAATAATAATAATAATAAACATGAGAATCAGGCTGCCTGCATTGAAACTTGTTCCAAGCTTGTTCCAATGCAGTATTTGCATTAAAAGATGCAAATACTGCACTATCAAGTATAAGCACCAACACACTGCAAGAAACAAACCAACTAATGTATAGCACAGCTACAGTTATAACCTGGGATACAAAGTCAACAGAGGGGGAAAAAAAGCCAAACAGTGCACCACCAAACTGGCCTACAAGACAGACCAAATACAGAACAAAATGGAGGCATGGGCAGACAAAGAACTACATGGCCAGTACATTAAAAAAAAAAATAGCTGGGAAAGCAGATAATAACAAGACCTGGCAATGGCTAAGAGCAGGAAAGTTGAAGAAAGAGACCGAGGGACTAATTCTTGCTGCACAAGACCAAGCCTTAAGGACAAATGCATACAAAGCCAGAATTGAGAAGATAGCAAAAGACAGTAAGTGCCACCTATGCAAAGAAGCTGAAGAAACAGTGGACCGTCTGGTAAGCTGCTGCAAGAAGATCACACAGACTAATTACAAGCAGCAGCATGACAAAGTAGCAACAATGGTGCATTGGAAGATCCGCAAGAAATATAATTTGCCTGCAGGCAAAACTGGTGAGACCATAAAATAGAGAAAATCATATAAAACGAAGAAGTTAAATTGCACTGGGACATTAGAATTCAAACAGACAATCATCTGCCACATAACACCCCGGACTTAACAATTGTCAATAAGAAAGACAAAAAAGTCTGGATAGTGGATGTGGCAGTGCCTGGAGACAGCAGAATTGAAGAGAAAGAACTGGAGAAGATAACAAAATACAAAGACCTACAAATAGAAATGGAATGACTGTAGCAAAGGCAAGCAAGGGTAATACCAATAGTAATAGGCACCTTGGGTGCAATCCCAAAACAACTAGAGCACCATTTGAACACCATTGGCACTGACAAATTTCCCATTAGTCAATTGCAAAAGGCAGCTTTACTCGGAACAGCTTCCATCCTGTGACAATATCTGTAACACTACCAAACATCGCACATCTGCCTATTCCAGGTCCTGGATGATAGGTAGACCAAAACACCAAACCCAGTCTAAACATCTGGCTGACGACGACGACAATGATGATGATGATTAACAACAACAACAACAACAATAAATACAAATTGCAAAAGCCAAACAACAAATAAGTTTCTAGAAGCAAGTCTTGCACTCCTTTGTGTCATTCAGTGCACCTAAAAAGATGCTTGTGGGAAGAGGTCAAGAAGGAATATCTGCCAACATTATATTACCCACATTGGTTTGATATTTGACTCTAAATAATCTCATGGATATTCCAAAAATCACAATTCTATCACACTGTGGCCCACTAGCAAATTATACGTTTAGGTATTTCAGGAGGTCTTATATAAATCTATAGGGGTGTTTCAGGATGCCTGACTGGCTGAACTATTGTGTCTGATGGAATGTTGTTGTTCAGTCGCTAAATCATGTCTAACTCTTTGTGACCCCATGGACCACAGCACGCCAAGTCCCCCAATCCTCCACCACCTTCCGGAGTTTGCCCAAACTCATGTTCATGGTGTCAGTGACGCTATCTAGCCATCCTCTGCTGTCCCCTTCTCCTTTTGCCTTCAATCTTTCCCAACATCAGGGTCTTTTCCAATGATTCCTCTCTTCTCATTTGGAAGCCAAAGAATTTGAGCTTCTGATGGAATAGAGGTCTTCTGAGGGAGGATGCTATCTATTAGGAACACAAAGCATGTGTTGGCATCCCCATTTGGAACTGACGCCTTGTGTCAACACCACTAAAATAAATCAGGCTTTAATGCAACCTTCCACAGCTGTCCAGTTTGCTTGGATTAAAACTACCATTCTCTCTAACTATCTGAAGTTGTGAATGAGCTGGAAGGTGCCAGGTTATGGAGCGCTGTTTTGATATACAAATGGCAGGGAGATAGAAGCCTTCTAAATGATGTTGGAGTCTGATCCTCACTAACTCTGATCTTTGGCCAAACCATCTGAAACTGTTAGGAACTGGAACTTGTTATCCATACTAGGCAGGTTATAATTACACAGGACATGTACAAAAAAATGGCCTTAAGCATCTCCATAAGCTTTCTTCTGTGTTAATTTTTGTGTTTTTTAATACTTCTAGGGAAACTATTGAGAAAAGACACTCAAGCCACCCTTCATCAGCGCCTATCCATTCTGTGAATTCCCTTGGACACAACCGCAGCTCAGTTGAACAGATCAGAAGTCACCTGAACTCAGAGGCTCGTGAAAAAGAGAAGCCCAAAGAGCGAGAGAGGGATCATCCAGAATCACGGAAGGATATCAGTGTTGATGAGCACAAGGCAAAAGACAATTATATTTCAGACAAGGAAAGTCTGACCCATGATAACAGATCGTTGGAAGAATCTAAACAAGCATCTCGGGTGCCTTCACCATACACCAGGACACCTGTTGCAGAAAGCACCAGACCTAACAGCAACTCGAGTCGGGATACTGAGAAGAAGAACGAACCTGCTTATGAGAATCTGAAAAAATCGAGTGAGGTCAAAGTGAAAGAGGAGCGGAAGGAAGATCATGACGTTTCTCCTGAAACACCACAAACCCATCGGCCATCTGAGCGGCCACCATCCATGCCCGCGACCAGTGTCCATCCAGGCCCTTTAGTGTCCATGCCTATGACAGTGGGTGTCACTGGCATCCACCCCATGAACACCATCAGTGGTCTAGATAGGACTCGCATGATGACCCCTTTTATGGGCATCAACCCAATTCCAGGGGCCGAACGCTTCCCATATCCTTCATTCCACTGGGACCCCATGAGAGACCCCTTGAGGGACCCTTACAGAGACTTAGACATCCATCGGAGAGACCCTTTGGGCAGGGAGTTTCTCCTAAGGAATGATCCACTGCACCGCCTCTCCGCACCAAGGCTGTATGACGCAGAGCGATCTTTCAGGGACAGAGAGCCACATGACTATAATAATCATCACCACCCCCTTTCGGTTGACCACCGTCGTGAGCACGAAAGGGGAGCCCACTTGGATGAGAGAGAAAGGTTGCACATGCTCAGAGAGGACTATGAGCACGTTCGGCTTCACTCTGTGCATCCCGTGGCCCTGGACGGTCACTTGGCTCACCCAAGTCTAATTACTCCGGGACTTCCTAGTATGCATTACCCTCGCGTCAGTCCCCCTTCAGGACTTCAGAATGGGCTTCTCAATAAAACGCCTCCCACAGCAGCCCTGAGCGCGCCTCCCCCTCTCATTTCCACCCTAGGACCTCGGCCTGGTTCCCCCCGAAGGACTACACCTTTGTCGTCAGAAATGAGGGACAGGCCACCCTCTCACACTCTCAAAGACATCGAAGCACGATAAATAATGGCCCGAACACGTCCAAGAGAGAACATTAGACAAACGGATCTTCTTGCTCGATAAACGTAGACTTTGGTTATGACCCAACTGTATAAAATGTACAGACCCAGATGTACTAAGGTTTTCTTTTCTTTCTTGGTTTTTTTTTTCCAAAAAGTAAAAATAAAATATGGTTGGGTTGTATATTATATGTTGAAGAAAAAAAGTTTTCAGAACCTTTTAGACAAAAGTTGGCACATTTTCTACGTAAATGCTCTTTCTTTCTACTGTTCCTAGCCAGAATAAGATGTAAGTCAGTATTTCATCTTCCCCCAAATCTTCCCTCTTTCCACTTCTCTCTCTCTCTCTCTCTCTCTCTTTTCATTCTCTCCAGGTTGAAATGAAGAAAAGCAGAATTCCTTTATTCTATTTTATTTTTTTCTCCCCCTGTAAGAGAGTTGTTGAAAATAACGCTATTTCGTGGGTTAGTGGGTCATATATGCAACATGGGGTAAGACGAAAGCTTTACTTTGTAAGTATGTACATAGGAAAAGAAAAAAAGTAACATAATGCATTACTACTTCTTAAACTGTGCTCTTTGCAGACTTTAATTGTGTGAAAGACCGCAGCTGCGGTACACCTAATGTCATAAGACAGCTAAACCCCTTCAGCTATGCAATTAATTTTGAAGTTTTTCACAAAAGCCTCTTTAACTCAAAGGCGCCTTGTCAACACACTCAACCACACATAAAGTCATACTTTCCCTAAACAAACCCATACATCATTGATAACTTTGGGATGAAGAAATAAACCACCTTCATCTTCAACAAATAGAAATTGGGTCTCACCTGTTGTTTGTTTTTCCTACCTGTTTTTTAAAAAAATCTTTTTGCTAGCTAGTGTTTTGTTGTTTCTTTTTCTTAACTTGAAAAATGTTGTACAATGTTAGATTACATCCAGCCTCTCCATAGCTGTTCCTGGGTCACTGTGAATCAAACTTTAAAACTCAGAAATAGGCCATTTCTGCTGAAATCTACTTAGAGGAGCCAAGCGCACTCTGAATTTAACTCCCAATAACTTAGCCAGCATTACTGTTTGGGCTGTCCTCTTTAGGCCTTATAAAGTATGAGGAGTGGGGAAGAGAAGGGGACTCACAATCTGCCTCCCCTGCCCCACCTCCAGGTTTTCTGCCAACTTTGAATTACAAACTATGAAAATTATTAAATTCATGGGAAATTGCTGTTTGACAGCATTTCCATTTTATCAAATGAAGCTAATTATCCTGACTTGGCCCATTTTGGTCATCATTTAGAGTGTAAACCAGGGTTCTCCAAACTTGGCAACTTTAAGACTTCTGGACTTCAATTCCCTGAATTCCCCAGCCAGCATGATTGGCTGAGGAATTCTGGGAGTTGAAGTCCACAAGTCTCAAAGTTGCCAGGTTTGGAGAACCCTGGTATAAATAAAGGTTTCGCCAAGTGACAAAATGAGTGTCATGAAACAAAACTGACACTTATATCGGCTAATCTTCCCAGGGGGGGTCAGAAAAGGCAAGATGGCAGTCATGACATGATGAATGCCGACTTTTTTTTTATTAGTGCAAAGTCTGTAAAAATAGGCCTGACTTTGATCAGCTGCCATTTGACTTTCTAACCTTTCTCCCAGGTAACCCCTGATGTTATGTACTTGTGCCCGATTTTGAGGTCATAGTAATTAAAGCCCAATAACGATATTTGTATAACATCCTAAACGTGGTTCGTATTTACCTTGGCTAATTTTTTAGTTTTGTGATTTAAGATGCTATGAAAATCTGGTACATTTGGTGAGTTTACCTCCAGATTTTTGCACCTAATTCCCGAATTAAGGTTAGGCAAATAAGGAAGTGTTGTGTAGAGATGAATGATGGAGGTTGTAGTCCAAACTTTGGTGGGCAACTGATTGATCTCGGGCATTGCCTTAGTGGTTCTAGTTGCCTCCAAAACTTAGCAGACAAAGGGCACCTGATCCTTCAATACTTTTTTCAGAAACATCTATTATTTTGACATTGGTTGGATCTGATAAGAACTGAAGCCCAAAACAACTGCAGTACACCATGTTGCCTGTGTGAGTCTAGAGCTGGGCCTTATAACATTAACCTCCACTTTTCTAAATGCCATCTGTGGTAAACCTGATACCTCTGGTGCTACATGGACTAGCAACTTGGAACTCTTTTAAGGAATTTGGATATCTTTACCATTTGGGAAAAAAGAATCACTGGTTTTTGGGTTGGGTACCAATTTTCTTAACCCCTTTCCCACATTCAGATTCTAGTTGAACATCCATTAACATAGGCATAAGTCTTGTTATATGGATATACTTTTGACTAGGTACAGAAGTCTGCTATTAGCTCTTCAGAAATGTTGGTAAGATAAGTACATTTATGTTAATGTTTTTCCACCGTCCCATCAATGTAGAAGTGAGCAAAAGAGGGCCATGTTACCATGTTGCCTGTAACTCCCTCTGGGAACCACAGGATCCCCCTGAATATTCCAGAAATGAGAAACTTTCATGATATCAGTCAGTCTGGGACAGGGGTGGGGAACCTTGGCTCTTTTATGACTCGTGGACTTCAACTCCCAGAATTCCTGAGCCGGCCATGCTGAGGGGAAGGGAGAGGTTTCCAAGCTGAGCCATAGTGGCTCAGGAATTCTGGGAGTTGAAGTCCACGAGTCATGAAAGAGCCAAGGTTCCCTACCTCTGGTCTAGGAGATGCCAATGATCTCATTTGAAATCTCATGCATTTTCAGATGAGAAGATTGGAGCCTTAGAAGATTGTGTGTGGGGGTTGTTTTGTGTGTGTGTGTGTGTGTGTGTGTTTATGTGTGTGTGTGTGTGTGTGTGTGTGTGTATAAGAACCCTAAAATTGCTTGAAACTGGTACTCCCATGAGATTCTGACCATTTAAAAAAGATACTCTGCTTGATTTTAGGGGTGTGCATGCCATTATAGGTATTCCTCGGCTTGCAAGCATTTGTTTAGTGACCATTCAAAGTTACGGCGGCACTGAGAAAAGTGACTTATGACCATGTTTCACACTTAACGACCATTGCAGCATCCCCATGGTCACGTGATCAAAATTTGGGCGCTTGGCAACTGACTCCTATTTAGGATGGTTGCCGTGTTCTGGGGTCATGTGATCTTCTTTCGGACAAGCAAAGAAAATGGGGAAGCCAGATTCACGTAACCATTGGGTTGCTAACTTCACAACTGCAGTGATTCACTTAACTGCGGCAAGAAAGGTAAAATGGGGCAAAGCTCACTTAACAGCTGTCTTGCTTAGCAACAGAAATTGTGGTAAGTCGAGGACTACCTTTATTCAAAGTTATATGATGATGTTTGCAACTTTGATTTCTATGATTAGCATCAATCGCAGGCAAAAAGAAATCACATTTTTCCCTAAGCAGAAATTGTTTTTATATGTTTCAATGCTTCTGTTTTCCTAAGTCTTGTTTTTAAGTGCTGAGTTCTGTTTTGAAATACTTTGGAGAGAATATGACTTTATCAGAAAGCTTACAGTACCTTGCCTCCTAATAAACTGTAAAAATATGTGTATGGGATTAAAAGAAAATAGTTCCATTGGTCTTCTAGTGTTAAAGTGATATCTCAAATTGTTTCTCCTGTTTTGACAAAAAGAAAAAAAAGTCTATTGCAGACCACTGTTTCTAATGATCAAAAATCTATTTTAGTAGTCAACTAAAAAGTTTTAGTTGTGAACTTCAGATTTTGTGAACTCCAGATGTTGTGCAGTGTTTTTTTTTAAAGAACAAGACAAAACAAAGCAAAAAAAAAAAAAAAGAGAGAATCTTGAAAAATATGTACACTGGCACTTGTAGTGATAGCTTTCAGTATTGTATAAAAATATTGTTATATACAAATCTTTTTTGCTGTTTCTCCTGTATGTAATAAAGTCCTTTCTAAATCTTATGTGAAAAAGAAAAAAAAATCAACAACTCTGAAGCGACATTCAATCCACAGCATGTTTTTCTCATGAGCAAAGCCTTGTGTAATGTAAAATCTGTGCCATGTTATTAAAAAATGTGAACTATACTGGTAGGCATTCTTTGTTTGGCGTGACCCAGTTCAGAAGACACAGGCAGGAACTCCTCAAATAGACCTCAGAGTCTGCTGGACTTCAGCTCCCATCAACCTTGACTATGTGGTGCCAACTAGGAGTGGAGTGCAAAATCGGCTTCCCATTTCTGCCGCAAAGGGCCCATTTTCTCTGCATCCTACTCCCCTTCATATTTATCACAGCAATGCAATGCTTATTTGGAGTAACTTTGGAGTAAGTCATTTTTCACTTCTTGCAAGCTGTGCAGCTGAAGAAGTCAAGTTTTGTCTGGAGCTGTTTGGTGAGTGATCCAAGTGATCTTCAGATGATCCAGCCATTCCATTCATTTGCTCTCTTCATTCTTGTTCTTACTCAGTTAAAATCCCTTTATATCAGACATTTTTAAAAATATTTGTTATTTTTAACATCTGTTAAGGGTGTTAAAAAGAGATGCCAGAGATTTTGGACATGCAGCTGCCTGCTGTGTATTTCTGAAGTGAAATTTGTGTCTGTATTTGCCAATTTTATAGCTTTCCCTTAAATATAAGACCAGATATTGGCAAATCATATTTATCTGTGATTTAAGTGAATAATGCTTTACTAACATTTATTTATTTGTAACGCACACAAAAACACATTTCTCTCTCTCTCTTTCTCATTTCTGTATATACCATCTATCTGTTTCTATACATCTGTCTGTCTGTCTGTCTGTCTGTCTCTCTCTCTCTCTATCTATCTATCTATCTATCTATCTATCTATCTATCTATCTATCTATCTATCTATCATCTATCTGTCATCTATCTGTCATCTATCTACCTACCTACCTATCTATCATCTATCTGTCATCTATCTGTCATCTATCTATCTACCTACCTACCTATCTATCCATCTTTCTAATCTATTTATATTCATGGAAGACAAATGTCCAAAACATGGTTGTATAGTCATGTGTCCGTGGCTGGGATCACACATCATACTTAATCTTAATCTGGTTAACAAAATATGATTGCCATGCTCAAACAACATGCTATGCCCAAACAAAGAAATCTTATAGTTTTACTCCTGACGGCTTAATTTGCAAATAGGGTCGTGGCTGGATTCCTATGGTATAATAAACCACAAAATACTCAACTCTTGTAGCATAGTCTAGCAAGATATGTTCAACCATAAGCCTTGGAATCTTTCATTTCATTGTTTGTAGTAACAATGGACCTACTTGGGGGCTACTTACAATTCAGTCACTGAAATGCTAGAAATTCCTTCCCCTTTGCAGCATCCATGGTCATGTGTCTGTGTTTTTCAGAAGTTTTATCAAAAACTGGCAGTTACTTCTGGATTTCAGGAAAACTATTTCCTTTCTTCTTTCTTTCTTTCTTTCTTTATTTCTTTCTTTCTTTCTTTCTTTCTTTCTTTCTTTCTTTCTTTCTTTCTTTCTTTCTTTCTTTTGCTTTCTATAGAGCAGTGGTGGTGCAGTGATTAGAATGATGTTCTGCAGGCTAATTCTTCTGACTGCCAGCAGTTCAGCAGTTTGAGCCTCACCAGTTGAAGGTTGACTCAGCCTTCTATCCTTCCAATCAGTAAAATGAGGACCTAGATTGTTGGGGGGCATAGGCTGACTTTAAACCGCAAGTGCTGTTGCTATCTATCATCTATCTATTGTATATCATCTATCTATCTATCTATCTATCTATCTATCTATCTATCTATCTATCTATCATCATCTTTCTATACTGCCACAAGTTCTTGGCAATTTAACAGAACATGCATACCACTAAAATGTCCAGCGTACATTTAAAACTCATCAAAGCTAAGAAACCCAAATGTCAAACAACTGGTGTTGCCACTTCAGAGGACTGGTGCTGCTGTAGAAAGGCATTGTCTCTGAGCCTTAAGATCACCATCTGCCTCTTCCAGCAAGATTGAATTCGTTGGATCAATTCTTGTAAGCACTGATATTTATTTTCTACAATTCTTGCAGACCATTTCCCAGTGCTTTTTTTTTGTAAAAATAAAAGGTGCTGGAACTCACACATGTCATACAACCTGCCTTGCCTACCCTACAACGTTCCATCCATTCTGGGCGTTCTATGACAAAAAAACCCCCTGCCATTTCCCCTAAATAATACACTTTTCCTACATCCTTGATTTCCTGTATGTTATTTTCAAAGTAGGCAATTGGGGCATGGGGATTGGGAAGTGGGAGGATGCATTCAAGCTCAATCTATATAGCAATCTAAGAATATTAATGTTATCAAACCTCTGCTAGAGACAACACAATATTCTCCCAAGCAGACCCACATCCAAAGTTTTGGACTAGAGTTTCAGCAGGAGAGCAATTTTATTCTCTTTTTCTGAAGTAAGAAAAATAGGCCAGTAGGTGGCAGCAGAGTAAAGATGTCATGTCCAAAAAAAGCAAAGATTTTGTATTAGGAAAGAGATAGAAGACATAAAACTACCAAATACAGATCTTCTCATTACTCTGCATCTCCGTGTTCATACATATTATAAGGATAATGATAAAGATGATGATGATGATGATGACAACGACGATGATGACGAAGACAAATGTGGGCTGCAAAACAAGGGCAGAGTTTTCTATATCACTTTTTGGTCATGTAGCAGTTTTCTGGAGTTTTGCAGCTCAAATATTCTATTCTATTCTATTCTATTCTATTCTATTCTATTCTATTCTATTCTAATAATAGAAAAAGGAGGAGGAAGAGGAAAACAATGGAAAAAAATATCTGTTTACATCAAAAGTGAGCAACAGGGAATTCCAAATCCTCTGGTTCCTTTGTAGCTACTCTGTGTTTTATAATCTCTTATAAGTTCCTTCAGCCACGCCATCAAATCTCTATGGTGCAGTTCCTGAAAGTTAGGAATGCCTTTTATCTTATTTTTGTTTTATTTTATTATTTTTATACCACATTTATTTCTTTTACAAGTAACTCAAAGCAGCAAATATACTGCTTCCTCCTCTTATTTTTCCCACAGCAACCCTGGTGAAGTGAGTTGGACTGAGAGAGAGTGACTGGCCTATGGTCACCCAGCTGGTTTTCATGCCTAAAACAGGATTAGAACTCACAATCTTCTGGTTTCTTCCTTGGTGCCTTAACCACTACACCAAACTGGCTCTTTTCATACAAAGCTGCAAGAAACACACCCAGTTGAAATTCCAGCAAAACACTGGAAATTCTGCAGACTTGTAGGCTCTCCTCAGAAAAATCTTAGCCCTGTGTCCTTAACCTTGAAAACTGTAAAATATAATCCCAAATTATTAGAAGGATTCCTGGTAACTGGTACATAAGCAGCTATCACTATTTCTATCAATGTGATTTAGGGTCAGGTGCAACCCACAAAAGCAAGTGGATATATCAGGATTTAGTCTGTCGTGCTGAACCAAAGATTAGTTGCTTTAGCCTACTGTCCTAAATAGGTGGAGTAAACCAAGATTAAGCTAACCAAAGATAAAGCGAGACAAACATAACCAAGGAATGCAAGCTATTGAGCTTTGCACTGCATTACTCCTTAAAAATAAGAAATAAAAAAGAAATAGGGGAGACATGGTAGCAGTGTTCCAATATCTGAGGAGCCAGGTTGTTCACCAAAGCACCAGAGGGAAGAATGAGAAACAATGGTTGGAAAGCACCTGAAGGCAGGACAAGAAGCAATGGGTAGAAACTAATCAAGGAGAGAAGCAACCTGGAATTAAGGAGAAACTTCCTGACAATGAGGGTAATCAACCAGTGGAACAGCTTACCCCCAGAAATAGTGGGTGCTCCATTGCTGGAGATTTTAAAGAAGAGACTAGACAATCACCTGTCTGTCATGGTATAGGTTCTCCTGCTTGAGCAGGGGGCTGGACTAGAAGACCTCCATGGTCTATTCTATTCTATTCTATTCTATTCTATTCTATTCTATTCTATTCTATTCTATTCTATTCTATTCTATTCTATTCTATTCTATTCGTAGTATTTCAGGCTGGACACAGATTTAGTCAGAGCAAACTAAAACTACAAGACCTCAGATGATGTCTTTAGG